GCACTGAAGCGCTGGCGACGAGTATGTCGTCGAGGTAAACAAACACAAACGACAGGTCCCGCAGCACCGAATCCATCAGGCGCTGGAACGTCTGAGCGGCATTCTTGAGTCCAAAAGGCATCCGCAGGAACTCAAAAAGTCCAAAAGGCTTTATCACTGCTGTCTTGGGAATGTCCAGGGGGTGCATGGGCACCTGGTGGTATCCACGCACCAGGTCCACCTTGGAAAACAACCCCGTACCGGCCAGATGCGCCGAAAAGTCCTGAATGTGCGGCACCGGATAGCGGTCAGGCGTAGTGGCGTCGTTGAGTCGGCGGTAATCCCCGCACGGGCGGAACCCGCCGTTCGATTTGGGAATGACGTGCAGGGGTAAACAAACACTGTCGGAGCGGCGGACAATGCCCAGGCGCTCCATGGTTGCGAACTCCGCCCTCGCTACAGCCAGCTTAGAAGGGTTCAACCGCCGGGCCCTGGCGTAGACAGGAGGCCCCCCGGTAGTGACGTGGTGTTCCACGCCATGCTTAGTGGTAAGCGCAGAGAAGGTGGGTAGCGACAGGTCTGGAAACTCGGCCAACAGTCTGAGAAACGTGTCTGCACCTGACAGCGAGCCTGACAGCCGCTGTGCTGCCAAGTGTGCACACGAGGGAAGAAAACGTTAAGGCATCAACTAAACGCCTATTCTTAACGTCCACTAAGAGTCCATGAGCACACAAAAAATCCGCTCCGAGGAGGGGAAAAGAAATGTCCGCTGTCACAAAATCCCAGCTGAAACGCTGTCCTCCGATGCACAAACACATAGGCCTCACGCCGTACGTGCGAATGGGACTGCCGTTAGCCGTCGTCAATCGCGGTCCGTGCCCCCCACGGGCGACGTCTTCACTCGACGCTGGAACTACGCTCCGTTGAGCGCCCGTGTCACACAGAAACAAGCTCCCCGAAACGCTGTCGCTGACGAAGAGGAGCCTGCACGTGCCGCCGACGCTCAGAGCCACTACTGAGCGCCGGCCCCTCCGTTTCCCGGGGGTTTGTAGCTGCACGGAGCGATGCATCTCTTCGCCCTTGTCCCGAAACGTGCGTGGTAAACGCACTCTCCGGCGTCTCCACGCCGGCTAGCCACAGCCGTGTCCGGCCTCCGCCACGCTTTCTTGACTGCTGGTGGGCCGCTGAGCGTCGCGGCTAACGTCTCTGCCCCGGGCTGTTGCGTAGCCAGGAAAAAACGATCCGCTTCCTCAGCCAAAGCACGGGGCTCCGTGACAGGCGTGTTGGCCAGCGCCGTCTGTACCCGGGGAGGCAAGTGACGCAGGAAAATCTCCGTGAATAAAATCCGGGGATCTTCCCCCCCTAGCAGATTTAGCATTTTCTCCATTAGCTTGGATGGCTTGCTGTCTCCTAGGCCTTGAATGTCAAGTATCTGGCGGGCCCTCTCCTTAGCAGATAAGCTAAATGTCTTAAGGAGAAGGGCCTTAATCGCCTCATATTTGCCATGATGTGGGGGGGCTGCGATGAATCCCACCAACCTGGACGACGTGGAGCTCCCCAGCGCTGCTACCACATGGTAGTATTTTAGGTCCCCGTCACGGACCTGTCGGCAGGCGAAATGTGCCTCCACGTGTGCGAACCATGCCTCCGCGGCGTGCTCCCAGAATTCCGGCAGCTTTATGAAAACATCGCGCTCAGCCATGTTCGTTAATTTTCCGGAAACTTTCTCGGAAAAGTCAGGGTCACCAGTGTAGTGCCGTGAAAAGAGAGTCGGAGGCGGTGTATTAAGAATGGAGTTCCAATCTTTATTATCCATTACTTTCAGAGAGGTTAACACATGCACTGCTCTGCCTGATGAGCTAGCAGGAATGGCAGCTAAAGCTACAGGTGTTCCCCACTAAAGGGTCCGTGTGGCAACACAATAAGCAAGGTGAATTATGTCCAATAACGTGTCACTTCACCAACAAAATTAATTATCGTGAGAGGCCTATATATGAAACACACACACACAAACAAATCTACAGACTTACTCCAAACTGCCAAACATATTAATTAACACACTCTCACTCTATTTTGGCCTAGTAGAACAATAAGCACCAGACTTTTACTTTTTTATAATTTCTTCTGGATCTTAGATCTGCGCATGCGCAATACGAGTATTTGTGTTGGGTAATCTATGGTAGGGCTAACCCATACAGTGGTGGGGCTCAAGTCAGTATTTGCAATGTAATTACATATTTCCCCTTGACAGTGAAACGCCACTCGTGAGGTTTAGATTATTTCCCTGTCTCAATCCAAATTGAACTGTATGAAATAAAAAGGCACATTTGTCTTGTAGTAAATAAAAAGGGCGACCTGGAGCCAATCCTGCAATTTCCCCACAGGTGAAAGAGTTAACGTGCTGAAAACCCAACCCCTGCAGGGGGGTCTGGGAGGATTCTCCCCCAGGAGATTTTTTGAAATACTAACATAAAATACACATTCTGGTACTCTCTTGAGAAGAAAAATAAATAAATCTATTACTACACGACATATTTAAAAAAATGAATGCCATTTTAGTTTTGTGTTACTTTGTTCTGAAAGCTGAACCTGCTGCTCCTCACAGAGAGAAGAGGGAAGAGACTGTGAATTACTTTACATTGTGGATAAGGGTGGATAGCCCGCATTGTTCTGTGTGTCAAGATGAAAGACAGCCCACACACCTATCAGTCATCAAACCGTGGGGTCTTATTTCATTACGTGTTGATTTCTATCAACACGTAATGTTGTATCGATGTAGATGTAGTACTACAGTAAAAGTATTCTCCGTCAGGACTTCCTGCAACAACACCTCGCCGTTATCTTGATTCTGATTGGCCAGAAGACATTATCAAATATGTTCTATTGAGAAGACGATCACTACGTGACAACAGTTTTCAAACCCGTTTCTAGTCTTCGCTATTTTTGTTTTTGGCGTGAGAATAGTTTGGGCAGTGTGAGAGCGTGAGATTGAGAGTGAAAGCGTGTGTCACATGCCAGATGCGTGAGAGTTGGCAACCCTGCCGTTGCTGTGTCAATACAGATATTTATTTGTTAATTATTTGTCTTTACTAGTCATACACCTGGTTTATCGTAGCAAGCAGTGGAAACTCCCCTCAAGAAGCGACAATTGCCAAGGGCGTTGCAACCCTCACTTGCCAATATTTCATCATAAATATAGCACGTTTGTTTATTTTAGCCAACCATGCTCCAAGTAAAATTGAATAGAAATGATAATGTATCATCTTTTTGAAAAATAGAGATCGCACATCAGTCCTGTGTACAGATCAGTTCGATAAAGTCATGCCTAAACAGCGACATTTTACACGATAAATACGGGTTTAAATAGCAGCATTTGCCACGGAAGGCGAGTGGCAGCTACCGTAAACCTTCTCCTACGTTACTCTGGCATCTTGTGGCAACTCCCGTTGAGCAGCGGCAGATGCCTCGGCAAGTTGTGGCATCAGTGGCATATGCCGGAAGTACTTGCCACAGATACCACAGAGTACTGGCATCTGTGGCAGACGCCGGAAGTACTTGCCACTGCCTGCAGATGCCACGAAATGAACCAGGCCCTACTGAATAAAGTACTGAACCTGTTGCATATTGACAGAAGGAACCATGAATTTCTCACCTCCTGAAACACATGAACACACCTCCCAGCGGCCAACATTTTTTACATTGGAAAGCTGCAGTTTGGTGCTGCTAATACAGGTGATAATTCTCCGTAGGTCCATTACTATAAGCAACCCCTTCCACATTGCAATTTGATACATTGCTATTTAAATATATATGGCTGCCATCTCTTTTTTTTGGTAGGGGGCAGTGTTCAAAATAAGTGATTCTCAGTGAAATGTCACCCATTAGGTGACTTGCAAACTCGTGGATGAGGTAATCAACGTCAACAAATTTGACCATTCAAATTTGTATAGACAGAAATAACTGTGAGAGAAAGGTAATGGTGTGACGTAATGGTTATTTTGGAACAATATGTGATTTAATTACATGTGTATTATGTATGGCTCTTCAAAGTTTGTGTTTACATTCAAAGCAGAGCTGGATGATGACTTCCCTATGAGTCCATTTCAATATTTATCTTCAGTTCAGTCACAGGTATACAACAAAGAGGAAGTTTACTTTATGGAAATGAGTGCATCCAAATGTTTGCCTTCTCTTAAAGTGTTCTGACCATGCCACTTAACACAGAGCTGTATCACTGCTCAGATACTGTAAAGGAGGATACAGGGAAAGCTTGTGCAGTTTATGAAAAAAAGCATCCTGCAAAGAAATCACTTTTTTCTTATGCCTTTGTCACATGGGATTTAAAGTGTCAACGCATGTGGTGTCATTACAGCATAACTACTGTCCTTTTGTGAATCATCTGTAAATGTCAACTCATGACAGCTGTCCCTCTGAATGAAAGAGCAGGGTATTCTCCTCTAGCAATGACATTCAACAAGCAGCCGGGGAGAAATCCACCGCAGAAGACGCAGGCATGACTATTTTATCCCAACCCATAATTCGGTGCTAATAAAAGAATGTTGAGCTTTGAATAAGGACCCTATGTACATTGTCCCTGCTGTATACTTTGAATGGAAACAGAAAGATCACGGTTGCTGTCTGTTGGGAGTTGAAAGAAGAGTTGTAAGAAATTGCACATCAGGCCAGTTGAGAGGAAGATAGTACTTAAAATAAATTGTAAAACTTTAATGCAGCGTTGTCGGAGCTCCAGCTGAGCTTTGAATTATTTGAACAAACAAACAACATAAAGCAGAATGGAGATATTGCCACTCATTATCTGTTGCAGTGTGAAATCATGGTGACACTCGAAAAATCTTTGCAAAGGTCTCGTTGGTGGAGGGCCCCAAATTGTGTCATTGCCCATATCCAGCCCTTCTCAAAATCTTTGAATTGATCAGACACACTGTAATTACTGGCTCCAGGGAAATTACCGTCCGTTTGAAGAAAGAAGGGAGCACTAATTTGAAAACCTCTTTTTCCAGGCAGGTCTGATCCGGACTGATAATGGGGAGTTTTTCATCGAGCCCCTCGAGAAAGGCCAACAGGACGTGGAAGTGAAGGGGCGGGTCCACGTGGTTTACCGCAGGTCCGCCATCAAGCGGGAGACGGGCCCTCGGAGGGAGGACCTTCACAATGAAGGTAGGCGAGGGGAAGGTCTGACGTCAGTGGAAACAGAAAGCACTGTGTGCGCCTGTGTGTGATTTGACTGTCTGGGAGCATGTGGGTGTGCACGTGTGAGTAGGTGCACACGTGTAAGCACAGCGGAGGCTCACTGTTGATTTGGTTGCATACCGGAGAATAGAATAAAACACCATTCTTTTAAGTGGTTTACCTGCATTTCAAGCCCCAGTGGTTTTAGCCCATTCAATAACAGTTAACTTTGAATGTGTTTCTTACCTGCTGATTCAGGCAGCCATTGGTTTTAGTTCATATCCATATGATGTGAAATTCTATTAGCATAATCCTCAAACCAACTTTGTGAAAATCAAGTATTTGAAATGTAGCAATGATACCCAAATGTAAACTATCCTTGCTTCTTTACTTTGCCTTCCTTTTTTGATGCATTATGTTTTCTGGGTTGTCTGACCGTACAGACATCCGTGTCTAATTCTTGTAAACACGGTATCTAAATAACACCTGCAAGAAATGTTCTTCAAGTTTGGCATAAACATCCACCCTTGGATACATTCCTTGAATGTGGTGGTCAAAGGTCACTGTGACCTCAGAGTATACATTTATGACCATAACTCACAAACCATTATGCTAATTTTAACAATTTCCCACAAAGTAAAGGACCCAATTCAAAATATATGCTTGTGTAGCTTCATGTGTGCTAGTTTCATAAACAGGCAAACGATTTGTAACACCATCACCATAACAACCAGGTAAAGGGTAAAACAATTAGTACTAGCTTTAACAAAAACATGGTTAATCTCACAAAAGTTTAGCACTAACCCTTATAATGACAACAACAAATGTAAAATTGAAAAGAAAAAAGGTATTCTGGTGCCTGCTGATTTATTTATCTTCTGAAGTTAAGTAAATGAAAGTGTGTACAATTGCACTTTAATCAGAAAAGCAAGATCACATTATTTGCATTTACAGGAAGTTGCAAACTGATTTGGTCACTTAACCCAACTTTTGGTACTGTCCTTAAACTCTGCAGCTTTTAAACTCCTATGACTGCTCTGTATTTATTAGGCAGATGTAGTGCTCCTAAAACCAGCTGGTAAAGTGAGGAATTCTGGGCTCCAGTGGTAGTAGTGGGGACAGGGGAGGATGGGGGAGCCAATGAGAGAGACCCAACCCGATGCCATCATGAATTCCTTTTCTATTCCTTCCTTTGTGCAACAATAGCTTGAGCATCTGGAGGATAAGTCTCACTCACTGATTCATTCAGTATCCCAGCATCTTTTCATTTTCCTCTTTGAGCTCAATTTTAAACAAGTCACTCTTTCACATTTTTCTAAACCTAATTCTATTTTACCACTCCCGTGAAATGCTTTTCATTATAACTTTATAGACTGCATTATTCTATAAATGTATGAATTTGCTTATAATAATAATAATAACTTGGATTTCTATAGCGCCTTTCATAATACCCAAGGTCGCTTTACAAGGAATAAAGTATAAACAAACATAACAAACATAACAAAACAAAAGGCAGTCAGACGAACAGTTAGACAAAACAAAAATAGATTTGGGGCCATTGGCAGACAGATGGGACTTGAGGGCCCTTTTGAAGGCGTCAAGTGTGGGGATGTTGCAGACCTCTGCAGGGAGAGCGTTCCAGAGAGTGGGGGCTGCCATACTGAAGGCTCTATCCCCGAAGGTTCACAGGTTGGTGCGGGGGGCCAGAGTCTGAAGACCGCAGGTTCCGGGGTAGGGCATGTGGGAAGAACAGCGAGCCAGCTAGCAACTAGCACCATTAGCTAGAAAGTTGCTGCCATTTTAACCTTTTCCATGACAGCTTCTATACCTGCGCAAAGCACTTTCAGTCGCCAGCCATCTCTGCCCACTGTTATTAATGGAAGAAAGCATTGATGGCTGCTGTTTGTAGCATTTTTTGAACAAATTCTCACTGTTATGAAATCTTTTTTTACACATGTTTTATTTGTCAGATTATTGTCCTGCTTAGAAAGCCAATGTCTCAAGTGAGCTCTCATTTTATTTTTCTCTCTCCATGCTAAATTGTGTGGTATTACTTAGCTGAACTGCGCTGGAAATAATTATTTTGTTTAAAGCTTTTAAAAAACAGTTTTTCAGTTATTGAACTCTTCTACAACTGGTATAAATGTGTTGCTCTTTCATTTGCATGTATCTGTTCACCTTTTAGTTATTTAGAATAAATTGCTTCTGAAAATACTTGCACAAGATAATGTTTCATGACTCTATTTGCATCTGGCAGGCTTGAACTACAAATGTCTTATAGATTATAATAATGTATAGCTTCAAGCAACATCACAAGCCTTTAAGATTCATGAGCCAAGTTTACTGGGTTGACACATTATTTCAATTTTGAATAAAAGTTCAGTGTTACTGAGGAATGTAACGGTTTGATTATTGTTTGCCAAGAGGCCATCCAAAATGAGAATTTCTACATAATATTGCTTCAGAGATGTGGCTTTTTTAATGAATATCTTCCAAAGAAAATTCTATTTATATGTTGAACCTGTGGATCATTGCATCTCACTTATTACTTTTCCCATCTGATGTTATTGACACTTCATTTCCAGCGATCTTGGCCATCTCACACTTTCTGCCCCATCCTGAATCTATGAAATCCAAGTTCACACATTTCCTTGTTTCTCTGACGAGCGTTTCAACTCTGATGAACCATTACAGACAGCATACTGTGTGCATGGATATCACCACGACAGAAAAACAGCTGAAGTGCTTTATGACATGGATTAATGTTGTTTGGAATTGGTGCGACTCAGCTGGGATTGGTGCTACTGTATGAATGCTCATATTATAGTTAGGCTTAATGTGGGGCTTTGAGGAAATACACTTATCACTCTGTAGGCCAACGATTTACGAGTCTGAGGGGAGTATTTTGACTAGAGATCAAGGGATTTAGAAAATATAAAGTCCTCAGGCCTGTAGATAACCCCAAAGGATTCCTCCTGCGCATCCTGAGACTCAAAGACAGAAGTTTGTTTTATTTCACAGACATAAATCACACCACAGAAGCTGAAGTTAGAGTAGACGTATCATAAATGCCTCGGATTCCAAAAGTCTGTTCACTGACTTGTTTATGTGCTGCTCATATTTTTCAGTGACAGACTTCGGGATTGCAGACCTTCCTGTGGCTCTGGATCTCGTCGAACATAAACTGTCTGAGTCCGAGCGAAAGAGGAGGCATGCGAAGAAAGACGACTACAACATAGAGGTGCTGCTGGCTGTGGACGACTCGGTGGTGCGTTTCCACGGCAAGGAGCACGTGCAGAATTACGTTCTCACTCTCATGAATATAGTAAGTCTATTGTGGCGTTTGTATAAGATACTGATCAAACTCTCACCAACGACTTTGTGTTTATGCCTATTCCCAACATGAAATATCCAGGCCAGCAACTAACCATCCAAACTTTCCTTTCAATCCAAACTTCATAGATATGTAAATCACTTTTTACATAAAATAAAGCAAGAAAAGCTGCAGAAAAATGACTGACACAATTAATCTGTTCTCAAAACTGTTGCAGCTCTATAAATATCCCTTCTTGATGTAAAAATGCTGCTTATTTTGGTGATCTTCTACCTATGGAAGTTTTCTTTCCTCTTATAGCTGTCTGAGATCAGACCTTGCTACACTGCTCTCTCCGGACGTTTATGGATTACTGATGAGAGGTGAAAAAATAATTCTCAGCTCATTCATTACGGGTTCCACCAGCTCCTACCACCATAATCTGCTTAATGGGACCAAATCCCTCAAGTCAGATTTTCACAGGGTGCTGGTTTCACTCTGTAACAGTTACCATTTGGACCCTGCATGGTGGTCTGATTAGCTGCCCTAGACCAATTAGAAAGTTGAGTGTGCGAGCCAGTCATGGAAACAAGCACCAGGAGTTCCAAGCTGCTGAAATAAAATTATGTGTTTATTTAATTGGGATATAATATACACATTCTATGACCAAATGTCTTTGGCAGGGAGAAATGTCTAATTTTAATGACCTTGACTGATTATAATTGTGAAGTGGCTGCAAAAGTGTAGTCATCAGTCCTTGGTGTGTAGTGCTCTCTGATAAGCACTTCAGATCTGGCAAGGAGGATCAGTTCATGGAAGACCTTTGGATGAAATTGTGTTATTAAGGGAGAGTAAAGTTCCAGGAATAAACGAGCAGTTTTAAACAAACGAGGGGTCAAAACTCTTTAGTTCCACTCGTAAGCCACAAGCTTGCTGTGTCTGAAAGAGCTCTGCCCACTCAAATCCCTCTGAATCCCTGCTCCGTGGCTGCAGAATGTGTAGTACCACCTGGAGAAACTCTCCCTGAGGGATTGATTACTGGACATCCTGTCTCCACAAAGCCAAGGTGACTGCTGAGGTGCCTGCCGCACAATGGCTGTGTTGTTTGAGCGTGGACCCAGTTTTGTCCACGTCGATGTGATGCTGTACACAAGCCAGGGACACCTAGCGCCTGTAGCTCACAGCTGCTACTCTCATTTTCAACCACAACAGTCCGATCCCAGCCCTCTGTGTGCTCCTCCTGGCCTTGTAATTATCCCAGTATAGGTGGGACTCTCCAAAAAGGAAAATATGCAATTTCAGTAATTACAAAAGTTATCATGGAACTTTTTATCATGCTATTATTTGATGCTCTTCTCATTTTTCAAAGGCATCTGTGTTTCAGGTCCAACACAAACATGTGTATATAGGTCAGAATATACCAGTCTAGGAATTTGAGCTTGTAACAAATCTGGGAGAATTTAAGGTCACTTGAGTGTTCTTTAGAGCATTTATTGACCTGAATGGGCTTCTGTGAATGGAATATTTGCTTAAATGCCTTGGGTGTAACCCCGCATCCCAGTGAAAATTTGGACTTAAGCCAAGATAGCATTTCTTCAGTGACAGAGATTTTGTTCTGTAAGGTCATACTTTTTAAGCGGAAAAAGCTAAGGGGCACATACCTGTTAGTGTATTAGCAAAAAGTAGCATTCTATTATTCAGTGTGCAATATCTGAATTTTAATGAGCAAGGACAAATATACAAAAAAAGACTGAAAGATTACATCTCTGGGTTTGGAGGCTGGAGAACCTCGCAGTTAAGATACAAATCAAAGTCAAAAACTGAATGTAGGTGTTGCTTTAGCTATCATATCTCTTTTTAAATCTAAAAATACAAGGCACGATTTTGACATAAAACTTCAGTAAAAAAGAAAATAAATTAAACTCAAACTGCTGCTTTGACATGAAAAATAACCTTTGCAATGTCTGCATGTCTAAGGGAGACCAACAAATCCATGATCGGTCTATTTTTACTATCATTGCACAACATTAAATATTCATTTTTGGTGCCGTTAGACGCTTTTATAGTCATTTTTGGGGTATACAAGCAGAGGAGCTATTTAGAAAGAAAGAGTTTTTTGTTACTTAGTGCTGGCCATTTCCTCAACTTTGTTTTTGTTCACATCATTCTAATATTGAAAAATATTTCTGAATTGTAGAATCCAGGATTGGGACAAGAATCTTATTTTTATACCAGAGCTTTTTGTCAGTATTCTTAAGAAAATAAGAAGCCACAGAGTCTTTAAAAGAAGGATGGCATACTTGTTGTTAAAACATTTAGGTTTAAATTCTTTATTAAAACATTTTGTTTCAAATCATCTTGAATAAAATGAATGGAAATACATTTTAGGCAGTTCCATTTATGCGCACTTCATCTCTTAAGTAAAATGGCCTCAGGGTATCAAAGCCTGCTTTTAAACCCAGTGACATAATTCTAGTGTGACAACCACGAGCTGTTCTCATAAGGTTGGGGCTAACTCTGTTGGTGAAAACCGGAAAGATATAATAATATTTTTAACAGTTTCTGAAGAGATATGGTGGTATCCAGGGAAAGCTTGCTTAAGAAAGAGATGGATAGATACCTGTCATGGACCAAACCAAAAGAAAGACTCATTAACACTGATAGGAAGGACATGACTCAGAGATCTCAGAAGGATTTTGATTGTAAAAAGTTAAGATCAGAAGTGGACAGATGGATGAGACACAAGGCACCGGGGGAAACAGGCTTGGTGTTTTTCTTCTATTTTATAAAGCCATATTAAAACATACACACACTTCCAAAGATGAGTCTTGGGCTCCAGGGGGGGAATTCGTTCCTTTGTTTTTTAGTTCTCAAATCTCTCAGTGTACCTTTTTAACTACTACATCAATAAGAAAAAAAGTTTGTTTCACTAAAATGATTGCCTATTACAGTTCTCAGTGGGGCTAGCATCTGGGAAAGTTATGTTTTAAAATATGTTTTTGTAGGAGGATGCAGATCCACAGAAGAGCTGATGTAGGAAGTAATTAAAGCCCTAGAGAATTGTTGAGATTTTTAGTTCAGATATTTTGAAAAGCCATTGTGTAACTTATGATACTAATAATTGATGTTCCATGCTGCTATATTTCAGCTAATGTTTTCCACTTATTGCAAAGTGCACAGGTTTTTTAAAGGTATTTATGGGCGAGAGGGCCTTTATTAGAGTTGAAAGGGGAAAACAGAGGGGTGGACATTGCCTGAAATGTTCTGCCAGTTTGGGATTGGAAAACCGTCTTACTCGGCAGTGGTAAACCACTGAGCTACCTGGCGGTACAGTTATGTTATCAGGCATAACAAAAGCATCAAAAATGCATTACAGGCTAATAGTGGTTATGTGTCACTCGGAAGCCCAATTGAGAAATGAAAGCAAAACTATAGGTTACTTACGTAACCCCAGTTCTTAGAGTAACATGAAGTGAGATGTCTCACTATGGGATGCGCCTCATCGCGGAGCAAACAGAAGCATCAATCTCATTACGCCAATCCTGATTGGCTAGTGATCTTGACGTCAACGTCAGGGAATCACCCCCTATAAGTAGCTTGCGCCACGACGCATGCATCATTCAAAATAAGCACCTCTTCTCGCTTCACCATAGCAAGGAGGGCCGTCTGGTGAGACATCTCACTTCATGTTACTCTGAGAACTGGGGTTACATAAGTAACCTATAGTTCTCATTCATAACACTCCGTTCGATGTCTCACTATGGGAAATTGTAGCTCCCGTATTGCCAGACGAGCTTATCTCGAAAATCACCAACCAACCAGAACTTAACAGGTAGAGTCCCGACTCAACAAGGTGCCCAGCACTGCTCGGGCCACACTTGGAGCGGAGACGTCTAGCCTGTAAAAGCGGACAAAAGTGAGCGGTGAGGACCAGCTCGCCGCTGCACAGATGTCTTGGATGGAAACACCCTTGAACAAAGCCCAGGATGTAGCCAGGCCCCGAGTCGAGTGAGCCCGCAGACCCGAAGGTGCTTGCAAACTCTGACTCGTATAGGCCAAAGCAATTGACTCCACAATCCAGTGGGAGAGCCGTTGCTTAGTAACAGGCTTGCCCTTGTGAGGGTTAGCCCAGGACACAAAGAGTTGGTCATTAAGACGAAGCTCCTTTGATCTGTCCATATATGTGCGTAAAGCACGGACTGGACACAACAGATCCTGCTGCTGTTCTCCGGAGGAAACCAGCGGCGGAGGAAATGCCTCAATGTCAATTGGGGTACACGAACCAACCACCTTTGGTGTAAAGGCAGGGTTGGGCTTCAACAACACTCTCGTTTGCCCTGGGGCGAACTGAGTGCATGAAGGATGTACAGACAGCGCATGAATATCACTGACCCGCTTGGTGGATGCCAGGGCCAGTAACAGCACTGTCTTGAGTGACAGATGTTTCATGTCAGCTCCTTCCAGGGGTTCAAATGGGGTCATTCTGAGCCCATTTAAAACCACTGCCAAGTCCCATAAGGGCACCAGTGACCTGGAGACAGGGAGGAGCCTGCAAGCTCCCTTCATAAAACGGCAGACCAAAGAATGTTGGCTAGCCGTCTTACCCTCAAAGCCCACATGGCATGCAGCAATAGCAGCCAGGTACACCTTGATCGTGGAGAAAGCTCTGTGTTTATCGATCAAGTCCTGTAGAAATGATAAAATCACCCCGACAGGACATTGAAAGAAGATGTGTCCTTCTTGAAGGCACCACTCATCAAACACCCTCCACTTACAGTCATAAAGAGACCTGGTGGAGGAAGCTCTCGCACTCTGAATAGTGTTTATCACCTTCTGAGGGAGTCCCACTGTATTCAGATTGTACCACTCACGGGTCAGGCCCATAGTGCCCCGTGCTTTGTGTGCCAGTGTGTGTGACTGGAGACAACGCAACCTCCCTTGGCGGTTCATACACGATACTGTGGTCGTGTTGTCTGTCCTCACGAGGACATGGTGTCCTCTGAGAGAAGGCAGAAAGCGTTTTAGGGTGGGGAACACCGCTAAAAGCTCCGGGTGATTTACGTGCCCGCTGGAGGTCTCTGCTCCAGAGACCCCTCACCGGGCGACCTTCGTAAATACCCTATCAGCCTGTCAGACATGCGTCCGTGGTGACCACCTTCCGTGAAAGGACAGCACCCGTAGGCACGTCCCGTACTAGAAAAGTCGGGTGCGGCCAGTGGCGTAGTGCCACTACGCATTTCATAATAACCAATACTCTCCGCACACCGTGGCGCGCAGGGTTTAGTTTTATTATGAGACCCATGTTGAGCAGGTGCTTTACGAGGACATTTGTCTGCGTAATCTGACTCTGCTCGGCGGGCATTATAGATAAAACCCTCCTTTCTAGGAGAGAGAGAATCTCTCTCTCCAGAATATGGGTTGACTCTCCCCGGGCTTGTGGATACAGATAGCCCGAGAAGCGAGGGGGGGTGACGGTGACTTGGAGTCTGTAGCTCCGTGTAACTGTCTTGAGAAACCCAAGCAGATGTCGTGAGCATCTCCCGCTGTATGCTCCTTAGAGCCAGCTGAGATGTCACGTCTCTTCCCCTCTGAGTCTCTATTTGTTGTGTTATGGGGCCCTCCAGTGTCTGAGCACTGTGGTGCCCCATTTCGACAATCCCCACCGACACAGCGCATGCGTGTGGCGGTGGTGCCCTTACGGCCCCAGCCGGCACTGCGCATGCGCGTGACGGTGGTGCCTTCACGACCCCAGCCGGCACTGCGCATGCGCCTGATGGTGGTGCCTTTACGGCTCCAGCCGGCACTGCGCATGCGCGTGACGGTGGTGCCTTCACGGCCCCAGCCGGCACTGCGCATGCGCGTGACGGTGGTGCCTTTACGGCCCCAGCCGGCACTGCGCATGCGCGTGACGGTGGTGCCTTCACGGCCCAGCCGGCACTGCGCATGCGCGTGACGGTGGTGCCTTCACGGCCCAGCCGGCACTGCGCATGCGCGTGACGGTGGTGCCTTCACGGCCCAGCCGGCACTGCGCATGCGCGTGACGGTGGTGCCTTTACGGCCCCAGCCGGCACTGCGCATGCGCGTGACGGTGGTGCCTTTACGGCCCCAGCCGGCACTGCGCATGCGCGTGACGGTGGTGCCTTCACAGACCCGTCAATTGTCCGCCCTTTGAGAGAGGCCGTAGCTGCTCTCAGAAGGGGAACAGTTGACGGACTGTTTATTGTTTTTACTGTTTTGCTTTTCATTTTTTCGAGCTGCGCCCTTGGCTCGAAGCCTGGATGCGTCAGCGGAAAATGTTTTATGACAGAAAAATCAATAAGTGTGTGACATGTGTTTATGCGGACTTGAGGATGGTGTTGAGGCATCTCTCGAGGCGGCGGGAACACATTTAGAGCTGGGGAACCGTAGACTTCCAGCTCTGTCACAGAGGGGAGAAGGAGGGGCTGTCACGCCGCTCGCTTCTTCTTCCTCGACTGCTGGCCGAAATTCTGGGTTGGCTGCGCCTGGGCTGCAGCCGGAACCGGAGATGTTCTAGGCCAGCTCGCCCTCGTCCCCTGCCTGGGCTGGGGACTCGGGGCGGACTGCGACCTCTGCGTTTCCGGTATTTTGAACCGAGCAGGGTTCGGGGCAGCTTGGATGAAGGGCTGCCGCTGCGAAGGCAGCGGCTGGGCCCTTCGAGGGAGGCAGAGGTGGAGGGCCTCGTCCTCCTTCTTTTTCGACTCGCATCTCCTCTGCATGGAGGCAAGAGCGGAGCCGAAAATCCCCTCTGGAACGATGGGCATGTCAAGCACATCTTCCTTTTCCCGGTCTGGGAGGTTGGTGAGGTTGAGCCATCTAGCTCTTTCCTGCACCACCATGATCCCCATTGTTTTGCCCGTGGCCTGGACGGCGCAGCGTTGGACACGGAGACAAATGTCTGTGACCGCGGCCAACTCGTCCAGAACGGCCGGTCCAGGATTACTCGACATATCCTCACAGAGCTCCGCTTGGTATGCGGTTAGCAGTGAGGAAACGTTCAGAGCCCTGGCGGACAACGCTGCGGCTCTGTAGGACCGTTTAGTCATGGTCGACTGGAAACGGTCCACCTTCGCTGGCAGCGTGGGGTTCCTGCTTGGTGACGGGCCCATCCTCGGTAGGAGGTGGGCTGCCACCAGCAGTTCCATCGGCGGTATGCGGAGCAGGCCGAGCCTCTCCATACCGTCGCAGTCTAGGGAGGAGGCACCCTGGATTGGGGCCTTGTTGCTAAAGGGTCGGTCCCTCCACGAGACCGACACCTCATCCAACATCTCCGGGAAGACCGGGAGGAGTTGCCTCCTGGTTCTCGTTGCTTGGGGAGAATGTTTCCCCTCGTAACGGGACCTGGCGGTCTCCTTGGCCATTTCGGGCCACGGGATGTCTAGCCTAGACGCAGCGCGCTGACACACGGCCTGCAGGTCCATGCTGGTGTGCTATCGCCCGGGAGAGCAGCCATCGCTCCCGGCTTTGCCGTTTGAGCCGATGACATGAAGATATCTTCTTCTTGCTCATCCGAATCAGACAAGAGGGACTCAGAGGTGTCCTGTTCGTCCTCCATGTAGTCTAATTCCAGGACATCCTCCGCGGGCGAGACCATGGTGAGGTCTCGCCGGGAGCTCCCGCCTGGTGAGGCGTGGGGCTCCGTTCCCGCGTCTCTTGCCGCCACCGGGTCCCGGCCTGACACGGCGTGGGATCCCGGTTCCGCAGCTGCCACTGTTAGTGAGCCCCAGACCGACACAGTGAGGGGCTCAGTCTCTGCGGCGGACGCCCCCGTGTCTTGATTGCCAAACGGCGAATCAGTGGACATGAGGGAGTCCTGTTCCAACAAGCTAGCTTGGTGTGCTAGCCGTCGGTGGAGGCTCTTTCGGATGAAACGGGCACAAGCCGGGGTTGTCGATAGCCTCCTGGGCGTGTTCCAGCCCGAGGCAGGACGAGCAGACCTGGTGTGAGTCTGTGCCTGCTATCTTCAACCCGCAGCCGCATGACCGAGCCTCCGAGTCCCTGACTTTGTGGTGTGAGGGGGAGAGGCGTCCATCTTGTTCGCCTTGTGGCGTGGAGAGGACCCGCTCGTAACAGGTACGTCGTTGAGAGAAAAGTGTTACCAACCCGTCCTTAATCCGGAGAAAAAGGGACGGTGTGGGTCCTTTGTTCTCAAAGAATATTTACTGGTGTGTCAATATACTTCTAATCCTTTTCTCCTCCGTGAGAGAGAAAAAGAAAAGCGTCCTCGCTACCGTGGTGTCGGTAGTAAGGGGAAGCTAGCTAGCAACAGGTGCGTAGCTAGCTTGAGAAAAATCAAAACCTTACCTTACTTTCCGGGGAAAGAAACGGCGAGGTCGATTTTAATACTAACTGGTGTTAGTATTACCGTCTTCTTGCGAAGCAGAAGGAGTAGCCGGCGAGCGCCCGTCGACCGAAATGTTTTGGATTTGGGTTCAGTCTGTGGACTGTTAAGCTTGTCCGGCTACTGTAGAGATGTGCTCTGAAGCGAGAAGAGGTGTTTGAATGACGCATGCGTCGTGGGGCAAGCTACTTATAGGGGGTGATTCCTTGACGTTGACGTCAAGATCACCAGCCAATCAGGATTGGCGTAATGAGATTGATGCTTCTGTTTGCTCCGCGATGAGGCGCATCCCATAGTGAGACATCGAACGGAGTGTTATGAATGAGAACAGTTTAATTCACAACATGGCAGAAACATTTTGAGAGTCTTTAGTCCTCAGGCATGTGTGTAAAATGAAAATCACATGAAATCAAAAATAGCTGATCTCCTGTTGGCCAGGGGAAAAAATAAATCGAAAATGTTTGGTATGTCCTTAAAGATGAGAGCAATTACACTTTATTTTGTGCTTGGGCCCTGCATATTGCACACATGATGAACAATATGATAAATTATACACAGATTTTGAATGAACTATTTTTCGAGGTTGTAACATAACATATCATTTTTATTTATGAGTGTGTCATAAGCAGTGTTGATCCACGTGCCTTAAAACACCCGTCGTAAACATGTGTTTCCTCTTAGTAACAAGTTCAGTTGAGAAATGTGTGGGTGCTTTGTGAAGCTAAATGTTAATTACAATCCATAACCAACTAAATGACTTTTAAAAATTCACTCTTTATTTTCCTCTTAACTTTATTTATAAACCGCAAAGCGAAGCAGTTGATTGACTTTACGGGGCCCTGGATGAGTGACGACATTTGGCGAAAACACACTCAAAAGGAAATTAGACTTGAATGGGATCCTAGCTTAGCCCTGGGTTAAATATTACATTCCACAGCATTATAATAAAAGCCATATAGCAGTCGACACATTTCAGGGTCAGGCTTCTTTGCCACTGCATAACAACACTGGTTTTATTGGATGGTTGTCAATGTCTTAATTTATGTCATCATGATGCCAATTTTGTAGTAAGAGAGGGAAAAAAAACATCTTCTTTGTTTGAATAGGCTGACGATGGATGCTTTACCTCAAACACTAAATGTTTAGAAAAGGCAACTTATAAGCATCAAGTGTGTTTTTACTTGCCACTAAGCAGATATCTGATCAAAAAAGTCTGACTTCCCAAAGAGAGGTGAATCAGTTATCTTTGTACTGTGTTTCTGATGAAGACTTAATTCATCCATGCAGCACAGACTACAAAGAGCGTGACTTGTTCTTCTGTGTGTTTTTGATTACGCCTGGTATAAAGCACACACAGTATCCGAGCCACATGGGCTCACTGTGTGCAGTTTGGTAATATCCGTAGACAGATATTTGACAACACTATTTATTTCCAACCTTTTGATGCCAGTTGATGCCTTTGATTTGCCCCCATAATTTTCTTCTTCAGTCCTTTTACAAATGTCAAAAACGATGAACCAAAATGGCCTGTAAATGGTCTGCAGGCTCTTAATTGTTATTGGTCACCTTATCCCTCAGGTCAGTGACAGAACATGTCTCTTTTCTTTCAGGTTGATGAAATCTACCATGATGAATCTTTGGGAACCAACATCAATGTTGTTCTTGTTCGCATGATAATGGTCGGGTACCGACAGGTGAGCTACGTCACACATCAATCATAAATGTACATTCCCAGTAGGTTATTAATAACTTACAGAAACATCACATGAAATAGTCTACCTTCCCATACTCTTCCCATCCGTCTCTATTCAATGGCTTTATCTTCTTTCTGTGACAAAAGATAGCTTAATACATTGAGGTCATGTTTATTTCTTATAACCAAAAAGAAACAGTTTTGCCTTTTTGCCCAGAGTTACATAAGAAGATCAATGCCACTCTCATGTATGTACAGCAGGTGTGTAGTTGGAGCCAACAGGCGGTTAGCTTAGCTTAACACAACAACTAATAAATGGAGTTAAAAATAGCTAGCTTGAATCTCCAAAGGCTAATATGGATACAACATATGAATTAGTTAGCTTTAGGGTTGCTGGTAGGCCGTTTTGTTTACTGTTAATTGGAGCCAGGCTAACTATTTCCCCATATTTCAAGAGTTTTGCCAAGCTAAGCTAACCAAAATAGCTGTTTCTCTGTTTTGAATGTGTGTGTGCTGCTGCTCATGTGGATTTATAGTGGATTTATAGTGACCAATTACTTTGAGTACTGCAAAAGCTGGTCTCTCTGTTTTTTGTGTGCTTGTTAATGCAGTTATTTTATCTGTCATAGCTCTCTACCAAAAAAATGTGTAATTGAGAGCCCTAACATAATTAGGGGAGTCTATCTGGGCATAGTTCAAATTTGACACCGAAAGAAAAAAAAGAGAGACAGAAAAAAGGGAAAGATCACATTTTGGATTTATTTTGGGGCCCTCTGGCTGGTTTGGGGCTCTTAGCAGCGTGTGATCTGATTATGCCTCAGGCCACTGTTTGATTGACAGATGAACACTTGTGAATAACACAACAGCAATTGCGTCAAACACTGAAGGGGATGCAAAAAAACATGTAAACACATTTTAACTCAGCGCCTAAGTTAAATTAGGGTTAGAGTTAGAGCCACTGCTCAGCACTGTATATTGCAAATTAGCCAGCAGGGATCTGAATGAGATCCATGATATTATGTGTTAGTAATAATAGATGCAGAGCTGAGAGCACACACATGTTGAGAAGTCACATCTGGCTTTTATTACTGTAATTAAATATTAATTAGATGCTGGCTGTTTTGACAACAGAAGAACTATAAAGCAGTATTTTCGAATTCATTTTTGGTATGTAGATGCACGTAGAGAATGGGTTTTACATAGAAGTTACAAAGATAAACAAACAAATGTATCCATATGAATGGATTTATTTGTCTGTTGCTATTGTATGAAACCTTTTATATATTGGGTTGTAGGCTGGATGCATAAATATAGTAAGGAGTCAAGATGGAAAATAAATTATGAGCAGCGTGACCAGGGCCGCCCCTGGCCAACTTGGGGCCCCAAGTGACATTGTGAGATGAGGCCCCGCCCCCCAACCGACAGGAGTGGAAGAAAAAAAATGTTTGGAAACAAAGTAGGCTACTTTGCAAATATAATTCCTGTTTATTATTATTATCAACACTTTTTTATGCAGTGAGGTAAATGGTTGTGCATGTATGTCGTTCAGTATGCGTTTACAGGTGAATACGTCTGCATTTCCTGCCAAATACTAGCCTCAAAAAGATTAAAATATAATTAATGCAAATAAACAACTTCTAATAATAATAATAATAATAATAATAATCATAATCAATTCAATAATATAAATACTATATTATTTTATTATAATATAGTTGTATAGTCAAGACAAAACATGCTTATGACATGCTCAAAAACTGATATTTCTTAAATCTGTATTCAAATGTAGTTCCCTCTGTCAGCAATGTATCAACAACTACACACACCTTTCTATCAGTATTTCTCTGTGTTGTGGTTGACATGATGATGACTGTTAGGAGTTAAGGGGAGAGGCTGAGCGTCACCATGACGATGACTGTTAGGAGTTAAGGGGAGAGGCTGAGCATCACCATGAAATGTGCAAATTGACATAAAAATGAATATAAGGGGGAAAAATGCTCCATGTTTTTTAGGCTGCAAACTTTAACTGTTATGTAAGCCAACTAGACAGACAGTGTATCACTCTTCCTTCTGTACATTAGCAGATAAAAGGCATCACATACTTGAATGAATGGTAAATAAAGAATGCTGGAAATAACTGCATCTCCATTAGCCTGTATGCTCTGCAGAGACTGCTTTCTTCATGTCGTGAATTGCAGCTGATGTTTTAATATGGCAATTGGCAATTTGACTTATACAACATTCGCAAGTTGTACATTTGACTCATACAATAACCCACCTTCGAGTGATGCTCTAGTTTCTTCAAGTTTAGTTGTTTTCCCCTCTTGCTTGCGCCGGACTGAAACTGTCTTTTCACCAACATCTCTTCACCTGCACTAGTGGCCGTATCAAAGCCGTGATTGGTCAGATGTCGATTCATTGCAACGGTGTCGGATTACAGACGTGCTCCCCTTGTCACCTCTCACTCTCGCGTGTCAGCCGGGGTTCGCGGAGAACTGAGTGGAGAACTGCGCACAGCAGCTGAGGCCCTCTGGGCGGGGCCCCCTGCGCAAGGCGGGGCCCCATGCAGCCTGCGTGATTGGCCTGTAGGGCGGCCCTGAGCGTGACTCCAGTGAGTTTATATCCTGTCGTGCATTTTAATCTACATTACTGAACGACTGCCTGGAGATTTGGCATTTTTCATATTAGTTCTCTTGTCTGGTTGCCAAAGCAGAGATATTGTTTACACAGCACCAATTAGATGAACTCAATGTGTTGAATGTGTCACAATGGCAGAAGAAAGACAAATGTTTTTCTGGACCTACCCTCTGGTATAAGCTATGTTGTTGTCACACTATTTCATCCTTGACTTGTTTTTAATTTGGCTGCATCTTCAGAACATAGAAAACTATTTCCACATTTTATGCTATTTCAGTTTCCAACAGCAGTTTCCACTTGGAAATCATTCGCCTGCAGTCGTTCTTCAAGGCCACAAATGGCTGTTTTTATGTTCAATGCATTTTCTGCGCTATTTGAGATATTTCCTGCTGAGTAAAAACATTACTATCTCTCTATGTCCATTAGGAAGATAAATGTGGACCCTATTTCACCTCCTATGCTGCTTAGCAGTATCACAAAAGATGGAAGTTTTTTATAACTCTCTATTATTCTACAATGGGTAGAAAAGGTAGAGTGACATTGAGCTGAAAAATATGTTATACTGACAGTAATTATATGAAATAATTGAGCCAACACATTTTCTCATATAACAAACGTCATGACTAATTAAACACAAGCTTTCATTAGAAGTAATACCTATAATCCCAATGTAAAAACCTGCAGTCTGTGAACTATTGCCCCAGCTTTTGCTTTGAGTCTGATCTTTTATCACGGTTAAGAGTACCTGAGAAGTAGCATGGGGTAACCTTTCATCATATTCAAAGTAAAAGTACATGCACATCCGAACAAATGTGCAATAGTGAGAAGTGTATTCCTTTCATCAAAAGAGCTGTGTGCTTTAGAGGGAATTGATCATTTGAGCAATTATTTATTTTCATAGTTGGAGTGGTAAAACTTTGTTCCTGCTCTTTGTATTTCTTGCAGTCTATAAGCCTGATTGAGCGTGGCAACCCATCCCGCAGCCTGGAGCAGGTTTGTCGGTGGGCCAACACGCAGCAGCGTCGGGACCCCGACGACGACGAGTACCACGACCACGCCATCTTCCTCACAAGGCAAGATTTTGGTCCCGCAGGTATGCAAGGTACTGTATTTTTCTCGATCGAGGACTGTGCAGACTGAGTGCTGATATCTGCTTCCATTCACAAAAGGGGTTGGCTTCAAGTCTTGCCCAGGTAAGGTCAAAGGAAACATAGACGCGAAGGCTGCAGATAAGGTCAAAAACCCAACTCTGCTTAGGGCAAGCTCGCAGGAAAATAAATACTCATTATCTTTCCAACACCTTGCTGACCTTGACATTGATGCCACCCTGGATATGAACAATTGAGATTAATTTTCTTCAAGAAGGTTTTTTTTGGCATGTAGAGAAAAACGGAAATGATTATTAGTTTCTGATTTATGTAAACTAACTGTTTTTTTTAATATTTAGTTGTGTGAAGTTCAGTGTGAACTCATCTCTACTTACTCCTAATACCCCATGTATGCAATCGTTTGGAGGAGTTTCTTAACATACATGTTCAGCGTTTGTCTCATGCTGTATTTCTTCTTTTCAGCCCTTCAAAACAATATTTGAAGCGAGCAGCAAAACTGCCAGAGAATCTTGGTCCCGAATGAACAAACATCCTCTGTGCTCAAGTTCAATATTTAGCATTGACCTGTGTGTATTTTTAACTTTTAAAGCTCACGTGTCATGTTTAGAGGATAATCTGAGGCTACCTGGTTTGCTTGTCACACCTCCAGATGTTGCCATAGCTGCTGTTGTGTTATGTTCATAACAAGCGCGGTTTCTATGGCACCTTGCGCTGTGTTGGGCTGGGTCCGACGCTGTGTCTCAGGGTCACGAGCAGACATCACACTCTCTTGTCAAAGTTTAGCTGTAAGATGATAGATTCTATATCCAAATACTGACATTGTGGCGTTGGGATAAGGAGATGATAAATCTGTTCAGTTTGTGGAGAAGCTGCAAAGCAAATAAACTGAATAAAGGTTTGTACACAGATAATGAAACAAATACACTGTGATCAATTCTTGTGAATGACGTCAAGTGTTTTTGAAATGCTCTCTTTGCCAAGGACTTAATTGCCCATCAGTTGCTTTAGTAGTTTATCAACCAGATGACAGAGAGCACCTCTCTCCTCACTCATGACATCAGCAGTAGAAACACATTTTTGACCCCTAGCTGTTGCTGCTGCACCTTAACGCTTCAATGTGCAAAGCCTCCCTTGATGGGAACCCATTCTGCATTGTATTGAGTTTCTTTTATCTGCCTTTCAGATAAAGGTCCACACTGCTTTCATGTTTTGCTTCATTGCAGCATCAAATATGCCTATTTTGTTGTCATTTAGAAAAAAGCAGCTGGATCAGAAACTGGCCTTCATAAACATCATCATATCACACTGTAGCAAAAAAAGAAAAGCTCTGCTATGGCTGACCAGCTGCAGACATTTCTCTTTTTCAACACCATCAAAATATCCTGATGCTTTTTAAGACTGTTCATCGCTGGCTGTCTGTCTGCTGAATTTCTGCTTTTTACCTGCATGCCAAAAAAAGGTCTTCAGACGGTCAGAAAGCATGAAAATTATCTGTAAAGCCGCCAAAAGGAGGCCAGAACAAGGGTGCTTCTGAACCAAACCAAAATGCTGAGCTGAATCGCTGCACACCTCTTGATCGGGTCATGTTTAATGTTTGTGCTTTGCTTAAAAGTTTGGTGAACTGTGTGAAAAGTTGTGATGCTGGGCTGGATGCCAGCTGGGTAATGATGACAGGCTTCTGAGCTTGCTGTTTACTTGGGGATTTTTTTAATGCACAGTGAAAAGGTGTTCATCCTAAAAGCTGTAAGACAGAAGCTTCACATCCTTCACAGCCCTATTGGAGTCTATGCTACATAATGCAGACTGTTAATTAGTGCCACGCTTATTCATGATGAGGCTGCCATTAAGGGTACATTCTTTATAAAGAAGTATTTTATAATAATTGAATGGCATCTTGACTTACTGCCAAAATCCTTCACTCTGTATAACTTCACATTGTACAGCTACCTCATTTAGTTCAACTTTAGTTTGAGAGCTTGTTGAAAAAGCCTTAACACAACCTTTTGTATCAGATTAAAGCAGTCCAACTTAAAGGTGGGGTAGGTAAGTTTCAGAAACCGGCTCGAGATACACTTTTTGTTATATTCCATGGAATGCTCTTAACATCCCGATAGCAATGAATATCTTAAGTGCTTTGACAAAAAATCCATAAAAAAATGTCATCTGTGGAAGCCGTAGTACTGTAAAAAGTACAACCAATCCGTTTAGCCAGGCAGGCTAAACGGATTGGATTGCCGCCCTGTCGGTCAGTCTTCCATCTCTAGCACGCACAAATGTATCTCGTGCACTCATTGGGCGTGCTGTCATTGGGCGTGCATTGCAGCAGTACTTCAATGACTCGCCAGCAACAGGCGGCCACTTTCACCAGTCTGCTGACGTCATGTGCGCGTTCATGTGTGTTGGAGGAGGTGCTCTGTAAGGAAGTCTGAAGGAAGGGGCGGATTCTTTTCGGCTGTGTACTTTCAAATTTTAGTGCACTCGAGCCGGTTTCTGAAACTTACCTACCCCACCTTTAATAGACAAGTGGGTTTATCATTGAAAGACGCATTCAAAGCCATCATCACAGCCTCTTGACATGTATTTGTTGTGTATGTAGCCTACCAAAGAACGATTAAAACCATCACAGTGCCTGCGATCACATCTCACATAGCTCCAATCTTCCACCATGATAAAAACACCCCACGAGAATGTCACAACCTTCATCCTGGTACTTGATTATTAGGGCTGTGTGGTCTTTTCTGTTGCCCAGGTTACGCTCCAGTGACAGGGATGTGCCACCCACTGAGGAGCTGCACTCTGAACCACGAGGACGGCTTCTCCTCCGCCTTTGTGGTTGCTCACGAAACCGGCCATGTGTGAGTAATGGAATAAGGATGAAAGGACCAGAAGGGTCTCGCTGCTCTAACTGCGTCCAATTATGGCGGTAGATATGCATGGTAGTCTGTAATCAAAGTTGGAGCCCTTTAAGGACGCTGTTGTTTGATGAAAATAAAGCATATGCTTGCCTCAGCATTAGCATTAGCATCAGTCAGTCAAGATGCTGTCAAAACAACTAACTTATTAAATGTATAAATATTCATATGAACTTGTGTACGTAGGTATGTACTTAAACTGCATGTTTAAACCATAGACTGTATATAGGCCTATAAAGGTTTGGTTTAAACCTATTGCCTGTTAGTCTAATGCAGGGGTGTCAAGCTCAATTTCATCGCGGGCGACATTAGCATTATTGTTGCACTCAAAGGGCCGGTTGTAACTATATAAAATATATATAAATATATCATATAGATAAAATAATGTATTATATTACATTATTGCCTCTGCATTGGATTATTATCGAATAGGGTAATAACTTCATAATTAACTATGTTTGAAAGTAGAAGTCTAGGGCAAATAATTGCAAGTCTCTTCAGTGCGCATGACACAAAATGAGATGCATTGTGGAACATGTAGTTTATGGGCAACGTGCTTCTGTAAAGCTGCATGTAACCGTATGATAAACCTATTATATTCTTTGCAAGCTCTTGGGCCTTGAGTTTCACACCCCTGGTCTAATGCAATTCCATATGTTAAGCCATGAAGTCTATTTTTATTATGCCTATAATACTAATTTGTTGTTGTTATAGAAATGATATGTTTAAGTATTAGGCCTAGGGCGATAGTAAGTGGTGTTGTACCGCATTTTGTTGAGTGATGATTCTTTTGTTTTGTCCCCTCCTGATATGATAGGAAACACCTTTCAATATAATGTAGTCCTACTGCACCAGGTAGTGTCCATGGATAGAGAATATAAATTAAATGAAAACCCTAAATTATTCACGTTTGCATATGAAATGCAATTCATGACTTCAACATGATTAAATCTTTCCTCAGTTCTGGTTCAGTCTTGCGCACAAGAGTCTCCGTGAATCATGAAATGCCCCTGCTTCAACTATCAGTAACTCCAAATGATCATATTGCCAACAATATAATCTACAAACTGTCAAGTTCCAAATTAAAGATGATTTGATAACTCATTCCCAAGCTGAAGTAAAACGAAACAGGGGCCTTGAGCAGGTGGAGGCTCAAAGTAATGCCTTGTCCATGTGAACTGCCATAGTTACTTAATTCGTGCAATCAAAACATAGGAAATATATAAATAAAGATAAACTGGAAACAGGAAGAAAACAGCTATGGCTTGCTCTGAACAAGGTAACACATTTCAACTACTAGCCACTTATCATCACATAACTGCCAAAAAACCCACAATGATCATTTGTAGACTTTAGATTAATCAAACAAGATACTACTTGTGCTAATGCGGACTAATGTGCTTCAGAAGTACAGGCTGATTTAGTTTATTGTGGACAGACTAGCTTTTTCCACTCTTTATGCTAAGCTAACTAGCTACATGCTGATAACTTTCAATTGACCGACAAGGAATTTGATTGATTTCCCCATTCTCACACTCCTGACAAGAAAGCATATGTGGATTCACCAGAGTATCAGACCATTTCTTGAAGTCCATTACTACATCACAGTATCTAGTTACAGCTCTGTGGCATCAGTTGAAGGTAGCAGCAGGGTGTATCCACTGTCTGTGAAGTGGTGGAGCTTCAGTTGGATTTATTAGCATCTTCTGCCTGTGCTCAAAAAGTACTTCATGTTGATCTTTTGGTCCATTTCACAGATTTTCTCTCCTCTTATTAGTCTCTAAGGCTTGTTAGCTAATGTCTGTGAACTGTGCGACCAAACATTGAGTAAGTGCCAGGCAGACTTGAATGACAATAAATCAGAGGGACAGGGCAGAAATCCAACCCGCTAGCAGGGGTAAATTGGACGGACTCCATGCTGAGCCTGTCAGTGAATGACTAACTCTGTGATTGATTGTGTGACTTTGACAAAACTGGATGACATTAACATTGTAATGGTGATGTGGTTCAGTGCTTTTAGAGAACTGAATTGTTTCCCTCAGGCTTACTGAGAGACACAGTTGAAATGCACATGTAATGTCAGCTTCACTGTAATATTAGATGGAAAATGTCCTCCACATAATTAATTTAATGTGAAGTTATTGGCCTATGGAAGGTAAGGGATCCAATCATTACAAAAGCATAAGATTTGATTAAAACATTTAATTTTCATTTTAAAAGAAACCAAACAAACAAAATAAAGTACAATTTAGTAAGTAACTTCACTTATTAATCATAATTCTTCTTATTTTTTAAACGATTATTGATATATAATAGGGGACCTTTTTTGGTTTCTAACCTCTCCCGAATTTGTCCTTAAATTCTTACTGTCTTTTACAAAAGTGTATATGTGCAAATAAACTAAATGAATCAGCATAATAATCAGATTGTATTCACATATTTTCCCCCCTTTCCTTCCGTTTAAATTATCACTACTATGCTAAACAGTAAGAAATAAAACGTTTTTTATGATGCATGTGAACAACAATCTGATTAAAATGTATTTTTAATAAAATGTAACCTTTATTAGTGCTAGTCTCAGCCAAACATGCCAAAATATTGAAATAGACTTAAAATAATGAGGAGAGAATGGTCATTAGCTTGAAAAATAACCAACGACCTATGAATCACGCCGGTTTTGCTTATTAAAGCCGTATTCTTCCTTAGAGAGAAATACATGTATGAAAGAAAAATGCCATATTTAATAATCCTATTATCCAGAAAGGATGTCTAAGATTTTTAAATGTAATGTGGTGCAATTAAATGAGAAATCTTTGCTGATTTAGAGTACTTTCTTTGGAATCCACTGCCTCCATCAGCCTGTTGGATGTTTTATCTGTAAGATTAGCACATAGAGGCACATAGAGGCAGCCATATCGGAGCAGCTGTTCATCTGAATAATCGTATTTAATTTGGAATGTTTCCCATTAAGAGGCATATATTTCATGGATCAAATCATCGCACAAACTCTGAGAGGGGTCTGCCTGCAGACCTCCACTCTCAGGACAGTTCCGGTGCAGACCTCCACTCTCAGGACACCTCCACTCTCAGGACAGTTCCGGTGCAGACCTCCACTCTCAGGACACCTCCACTCTCAGGACAGTTCCGGTGCAGACCTCCACTCTCAGGACACCTCCACTCTCAGGACAGGAAGTGCACGCTAAGAATTCCAAAATAAAATCACCACTATCAGTACAGTGCCACTTTCCAAACAGGAAATGCACGCAAATACAAAATAAAATCGGATCGTGACCATAGATCTTGACACTTATTATATACATATGTTGGACACAGGCCGTGGGGGGACACCCGAGGGCAATGTCCCCGGTAGAAACCGGGTGAAATAGCCAAAAAAAATTAAAATAATAAAACCGGGGAAAAGTGAAAAAAGTGTCCGAAAATAGGCACTCGTGAGGCGGGCAGAGTCCCCTGTCATCTCCCGTTACATTCCTCCATGGTGTCATTTGAGCAAAAAACTTTTACGAGAACCAGGCTGGGGGGGTCAAAAGGGCTTGACCAAGGCCGACCCAAAGTGCACGGTGGGCGGACTCATCACCTTCGTGATGAGTCTCCATTGTGATTTTAAAACTTCCATCAAACGAGTCCTTCGGTGGGCGGGGAAAAAAACGCGTCAGAATCGTCACTTCCTGTACTGACAGTGGAGGTGTCCTGAGAGTGGAGGTCTGCACCGGAACTGTCCTGAGAGTGGAGGTCTGCAGGCAGGCTCCCATGCAAACTCTACGCTTGAATTAATAAATGTAGCAAAACAACTCTTTCATTCCACATAAGAACATAGTTTTTCTCCCAATAAAATAAGCATATTCTAATGCATTGCTTTCAATAAAAAAGATTCTAAAGAAAAAAAGATTCTGAGGTACTTGAAGATCGTCTCAATAGATTTTAGAGACAATTCAAGCCAAGGTTCACATCCATAAGGAAATAGCGAAGAAGCAATAGCTTCATACACATAGAGCATTTAGTCTAATAAAACTTTTTTCTTTCTCCTCGAAATCAACTTTCGATAAGGTCAGAGTACTTCAGAGGTTTATATATAATAACGAGTACAAGAACCCACACACGTCAGGAAGAAAAGAAGGAAATCTACGATAAAAACGAAGCAAAATAAACACAATATCATAACTTATTTCTGCAGATGCATTGAGTGTCCTATTTATTCATTTATCAGGGATCACATAACAAAAACATGACTTTCAATACTTGAAGTTCTATGCATGAAACAGCATTGTATCATCCCGATCCATGGGCAGGTTTCCAAAAGCAAACCAGTACATCACATTTTACTAAGATGATTGCAACACTGCTCACTATCTAGTAGTCACATGCTGCATATGATATTTACAATACAGGTGTTTGATTAAGCAAAGATGGTTATTCATTTGACAATATTGATTGCATTCTTATTTGAAATTGGCCGATTTAACCAACATGATTTATGTGAACTCTGAGAAATCAGATCCCACAAGGAATGATTCATGACATATTACAGGATGTTATTTAATGAACTCCTGTATACATCATGTTAGTTATTGGTCAGTACAAAGAACAAAACAGATTCCCTCCTTTGTCACTGCCAGTAAGAAGAAAATATGAATTATTATGTTGGCATTTATTAACAGCTTCCCCTCAGCGGGCTGTGTCACTGCGTCAATGACTTATAACATAATGTTCAGACCTCAAGCTGAATTTTGAAAACAATTAATTAATAATAATAATAATGAAATGAAACAAGAGAATTATGATACTGTACCATCTTAAGCAATATCAAATTGATAAACAAAAATATTATTGACGTACAAATGATGACGTACAAATGATATATAAACAAATGATCTACCTAATTACACATCCCACCCCTTCTCCCAAAAAGACCTTGGAAATGTCAGCATGTTACGAGGGATTCAACCAACAGAACTGTTAGTGGTGGACTCTATGCAGCTAACAGACATCATATATTAAAATCTTCATCATGTACCTGAAGGTCTTTTTGTAAAAATAGACATTATGTAGTTTGGATTTCTTTCATCTACAGAACTTCTCGAAGCACAATATATTGATGCAGCTGCTAAACTTGATATAAAAAAAAGAGAGAATACAGTATAAATACATGGTTTTAGATAAGAACATATCTGATCAGTGAAAAAGTATTGAGGATTTGAGGCCAACTGACAGACAATACTTCATTCTATGGACCCACTTCTATCTGTACTCAATAAGTATAGTTTTGTTCCCTTTAACCTTGCTGTACAATAAACCTTCCCCCTCCCCCCCACTAGGCTCGGCATGGAGCATGACGGACAGGGGAATCGCTGTGCTGATGAGACCAGTATGGGCAGCATTATGGCGCCACTCGTCCAAGCAGCGTTCCACCGCTATCACTGGTCACGTTGCAGCAAGCAGGAGCTCAATCGATACATCCAGTATGTTCTGTGTCTCCCACTCCATCACTTCTTCACTGCACATATTGCTTTTTACGCTGCACAGTTTATGTGTGAAGCAGCCCTATGTAATTTTTTATTTTTTTTTTACTTACTCCATATCTCTCCAAAGGTCTCTATATATGACACTGTTGCTCTTGTCTTCTCTTCAGCTCATATGACTGCCTGCTGGATGATCCCTTCAAACACAAGTGGCCCAAGCTTCCTGAGCTCCCCGGAATAAATTATTCAATGGACGAGCAATGCCGCTTTGATTTTGGTGTTGGTTATAAAATGTGCACCGCTGTAAGTCCTTTATACCTGTGTCATCCCTAAATTATTGATTGATTGTTTTGATTTATGTACCCCTTTAATCAGCAGAAATCCCATGAAAGTCTATTACATGACCAGAAAAGCTGTGAATGCATTACAAGAGATAATGGTATGATACTACAATACAAATACCGACTATATAGACACATTAACTGTTTTGAGGTTTTACATTTAAGAGACAGTTGTGCTCCAATAGAAAGGCAGGAAACTTCTTCTCAGTGGAAGTCAACACGGACACCCAGTTTGTAATATATACATGTTGCAATACTCTCATGAATAGGCTGAATCACAATTGTGTAACCTCAGTCTGCAATTTAGGTGACCTTTATTTTAATGAAAACCTTTCATTTCTTTAAATTATTCAAACCAATGGAAATGTTCAAGGGCTGAGTCTGTTAACATTTCCAATAAGAATAACTGAAGCTCATAATCTCTGTTCTTTAGTTTCGAACCTACGATCCTTGCAAGCAATTGTGGTGCAGTCACCCCGACAATCAGTACTTTTGTAAAACCAAAAAAGGTCCTCCGGTGGATGGAACCGAGTGTGCCCCCGGAAAGGTGAGAAATATCTAAATCAGCTTTCAATTATTCTTTTATTTCCCTACAATGGAGCTCTCTGAAGAGGGGAAATTATGAGAAGTACTGAAATGGTTTCAAATGTCACTGATGATTAGTCTGGACTTTTTTTTGACGTTTCTGTCTTTATTTTCGAACGCTGGCTTTTCTCCCGTCTTTGTGATATTCTTAGTGGTGCTTCAAGGGCCATTGCATCTGGAGGTTCAGCCAGCAGCCTCAGGGCCACGACGGGAGTTGGGGTTCCTGGTCAGATTTCGGTTTCTGCTCCAGGACATGTGGAGGTGGAGTCCGCTCCCGCAGCAGACAATGCAACAACCCACCGTGAGTTCTGCTGAAAAAGAGAACGCACTGAAACGAAAATCAGCTACGTTTTCGGGGGCCAAATAGTTTATATGCTCCCGGTACGTTCATCCAACAGATGGTGGCGTGCTGTTAAAGTATGAATGCGGAGCTGGAGAGCAGAGGGAGTTTTTGATCCAGCGCTGGCTTTGATTAAGTTGGCTGAAACAAAAACTTTACTTCAAAGTGTTAAACCAGTCCGCTACTGTTTTGTATATATGCCAACCTGTTCGTGTTTATATTAATACTTGATGAAATCTTATTTTTGTTTTAGTTCACTCCAACTGATTATACAGCCTTAACCATTGTTATCCATGGTCGACTGTAAGTAGGCCTACGTGGGCGCATAATTATAACGGAAAGTTAGATTAGATTTTTACTAGAATCAAAGACAAATTATGAACGTTTTTAATCATTCAGTGTGAGTTATTCAGTTCACTGTGATCGGCAGGTTCCTGGTTTGTTTAATAGGCCACGGCAGAGCTGTTTTACACTAAGAAATGTGTCTCCTGTTTCAAAACAACCATAATATAAGGCAGACTCGCTTGTCCGAGACCAACTTTGTTAAACTTTCCCCTAGCAGATGTGCACGGATAGGCATCAGAACCAGTGATGTTCAGAAATGGTGAAATCATTACGCTAGGGGTGTATGATCAACATTACAATACCACAGTACAAACTAGCATTGCTCCCACACACAGTTGTGATTGCTATGGTTTATTCATAACCAGTATCAGATTGACTGACCATTCGAGTAGAATTATAATACAGTTTGACTTTTTAAAGTTTTGTCCAGTTTTCAGCTGCCTATACAATTCCCAAGAACCAAAGAATATTATCAATATTACGTCTCATAAGGACAATAAGTGATCATTACTGTAAAATGTATGACGTACGAGTAGAGAAAAATATATAGAATTAATTGAAAGGGTCACTGCAGGTATCTATCTTTTTATATATTTGTGCTTTGGAGCTGTTGTGCACATAATATTTGTTCCATCTCATAAAGCTCCCATAGTTTTCAAATCCAGCCAAACCTCCTGGACTCACACCAGGAAGGACAATCTTTGGATCTCTGGGCACATCATGATGAAAAACATCTTTATTTTCTTGTTGTCATCCATCAGGCCTGCCTATGGAGGTCGAGATTGTCCCGGTTCTGCTTTCGACTACAAGATGTGCAACATGGAGGAGTGTGCTGGCCCTTATGAAGACTTCCGAGCTCGGCAGTGCATCCAGAGGAGCAACAAATACCACAAAAACATCAAGCACACCTGGCTGCCGTACGAGCACCCAGATGGTAAGCCTGTACAGAGCGAAGCAGAGCTGGCTCTCTCTCTTTCGGAGGTTTGCTTTAGAGCCACAACAAGTGGACAGATTACATTTGCAGGAGGGACTGCTCTCACGCATATTTAGATTCAGGTCCTGCTGATGTCTTTCTCCGAGTCTCAAAGGTCCCCTATTATACTGTTTTTCATCAATATATTATAGGCCTCAGATATATACAAACTCGTCTCGAAATGTATTGTGTACATCCCATAATCCCCTCTGTTTCAGCCCTGTTTCAAAAGTGCTGATTCTCTGTCTGCTACTTTAGATGAAAATAAGGAGCCCCTCCCCTCTGAGAGATATTTGGTTAAAAAGAACACAATGGTGCTCTAGGAGGAGATTCAGGTGATAAGGGGGGGGGGGGGGGGGGGGGGGTTACCTTGGTTGGTGATTGGCTAACGGTTACACAAGCCAAAAAATCATAATCATATAGTGGACAAAATCCGATCAGCTCATTTTCAGACAGGTTTTTATATAAATGGATCAGGACAAAAAGTGAGCGAATCTTTTTTCCTGAAACTTGCAGAATCTCTTTACACAGAGGGACAGGGGAGTGGATTTTGTATAACAGGGGACCTTTAAGATTTTTGCAGGAACCAAGGTTTGTGTTTTTGTCTTTTCAGACGCCCGTAAGTGTGAGCTCAGCTGCAAGTCAAAGGAGACCGGAGAGGTGGTGTTCATGAACCAGGTGATGCATGATGGGACCCGCTGCAGCTACTCGGAGCCCTACAGCGTGTGCGCCCGAGGAGAGTGTCTGGTACGTAGAAACTCAAATGACATGCACTCAGACACACACCAACTTAGTGGCACATTAAAGGCCTTATAATACATTTGTATGAATGCAAAATACATTGTTTAAGATGCTTAGTAAAAACCATAAAATGAATATGAATTTATAAAACATGCAGTTCTGTCTTCTATACATGTTCTATGGCCAAGATCAGATTTCTAATGCATGAAATAATATATAAAGTTTAGATATTGAACTTGCCCTTATTGCCTTTACTAGAGTGTCTTTTTATGATTAAAATAGTGTCGTTTGATGAGTGCACACCTCAGAATGCTGCTCCAAACACACAGACAAGATTTTGTCTCAGAATTCCCCTTGGACATAAAGTGGAGACTTATATTGTTGCTGCTTGGCACGCTTCTTAAAACCCACCTCTTCTCCTTAGCGTTTTAACATTTGGCGTTTCAACATCTTTCAGAGTGTTGCTTTTTTGCATTTAAATTGTTTTTTGTTTTAACTTGTACTTGTTTTATGGTGTGTGAGCTGAGCTGTGTTACTTTTTTGTATGCTTTGTTGTATCTATTTGCCTGTACAGCACTTTGGTCTGGAGGTTTAAAGTGCTTTATAAATACAATTGTATTGTATTGTTATGTCTGGATGTGTTTCCAATTTCCATCATCTTAAACCTCCAAACACAGATGCGTACAGCGTTTGCACATGGCATCATTTTCCCTATGAAATATCTCAGTTTGCATGAAAGTGTTGCCCCTGTTTGATTGCTTTCGCCTTTCCCCCTCGCAGCATGTAGGCTGCGACAAGGAGGTCGGCTCTTACAAACAAGAGGACAAATGTGGAGTGTGTGAGGGGGACAACTCACACTGTCGCACCGTGAAGCTGACTCTCACTAAGACCCCCAAAAAGAACGGTAATTATCATCATTTACATTCAGAAAAAAACAATCCAGTAGCCTGAAACATATCTCCTCAATCCTCTGTGTTTGCCTGTCTTTAAACAAGGAAACAAAAGGTTCTGCTCCAAGTCTTGATTCAGAAATAATTGGCTGCTAATACAGAAAATGAGCCTGCTGTTTTAGGCTCCCTGCTAATCAGTGTCGTGTCTCTTTCTTATTAGGAATGCTGAAAATGTTCGATATCCCAATGGGAGCTCGCCACATTGTTATCGAAGAAAACGAAACTTCCCCTCATATAGTTGGTGAGTATGTTCTTTTTCGCCAAACCAGATTCTTAGTAACACAATTGGTTTGTGACAAGAACTCAATAATATAAAACCCAAGTTTTTCCAAGGGTTCTTTTATTTGTCTGTATGTGATTGTGTGTGTGTTTGATAACACATCAAATGTTTGTTATTACTGCGTCAGGGTGAGGCTGGCTGTACAATGTCATTACAGACCAGAGCGCAGGGTCAGCGAGTTCAATGTCTTTACTCTATACAAAAGGACATAAAGGTCCTGTCCACCCAAAACACGCAAAAACATGAACAGCTTCAGATTTTAAGATTTCTATCTTTGTCATTTTCTTTCACTAGTCCAAAAAAATGCATTCAAAAATGATATTTGGAAAACAGCACATTTTTTTACCAAAGTTTTGAAACAAAAGGCTCAGTCCAATAAAGGTGTTTATACAAAGAACAAAGAAATATAATTACAATTTGTTTTCCCAAGAAGCTGCTTTCTATATTATTCATTCCAACAGATTATCAGAGACATTTGTGTATTCATCACAGGTGCTATTCTAATGTAATAAAAGGAAGACAAGCTTTTAGATTTCAGCTGCACTGCTGCACTAATGGCTTTCATGAAGGCGTTTTGCATATTGGAGTACAAAGCAATGTGTGAAATGAGACTCCATAATGTTGAGAAATTGCAACCTTTCAACTTACAATAGCTCTCTGTATGGCCGACGATGGTGAGTCAGGATCTCGTGACATTCAGCCCTTTTCTCTCCGCTCTCCTCTGCTCCTTTCCTCTGGCTTTTATTAGCTCATGGGAATTAGAGATGACATACAACTTGGAGAAATTACTGTTGGCTAACCACAGCGGCAAACATCTCAAAATGCATACTTACACGTTCCCTGCTCAAGGGAAAATCTCAGAGTTGTTCTGCGGGGGAGAGATTGATCCCAAATGACTGTTTGATCGTGGAGATTTGTAACGAATGAAACTATAACTTCACCATGTGAACCCTCTCTTTCTCACAACACGTTATATCTTTCACTCATCATCAACAGCCGTGAAGAATCAAGTTACTGGAATCTTTATACTGAATTCAAAAAGTGAAGAAGCGGAAACAAAGACCTTCATCGAAAACGGTTTACAGTGGGAGTATTCCCTCGATGGTGAGAAGGAGACGGTGAAAACAACTGGTCCTCTGCATGAAGGCATCGTAGTGCTGGTGAGTGGGACTGGAACACGCTCATTCTTTTTCCCTTGAGCTTTTTTCTGAGTTTAATTGTTTTTCTAATAACTGTCCTTCACTTTGTTGCAGGTAATTCCTCAGGAAGAAGACACCAAGATTAGCCTGACGTATAAGTATATCATACATGAGGACCTGTTACCGCTTATCACCAACAACAATGTTCTCTTGGCTGAACTGGACACCTATGAGTGGGCACTGAAGAGCTGGTCTCAGTGCTCCAAACCCTGCGGGGGAGGTCAGTGAAAGCCTGTGTGGAAAATGAAGCGATTACAGCTGTGTATTTGGAGTATATGTGTGTTCAGAAAACAGAACACATAATGTTAATTCTGGAGTTCGTGAGGTTTTTTCACCATGTTATCGTCCAAAGTGGCGAAAAGTCTAATTAAGATCTATTCATCAATCTACTGTTGCAACAAAAATGGTTCCCAAATTGGGATTCATAAAGTACATCTTATCTTATTTTATTATCTTATTAATGGATTGATGAAAAATTATAGATTTCTCTGTTTATGCATTATATGTAAAATTATTTTTGTTTCTTTTGGACAGTCAAAAGAAATTCAAATAGAACTTTAGGCACTTGCAATGGGTATTTCTTTCACTTTTTTTCTAACATATTAAACAATAAACAGTATATGGAATACATATTGAAATGATCAATCGATAAGGCAAATAATAATTACTTGAGTACTAGATGATGAACGTTAAACATCTGGATTTCAGCTGTATGTAGGTAACTTATCTTCATGTATGTCTCACCTTGCTGTTAGATTAACTTTGTACACTTTTCCATCCTTCAGGCATACAGTACACAAAATATGGATGCAGGAGGAAGAGTGACAGTCGTTTGGTTCATCGAAACCTTTGCGAGACCAGCAAGAAGCCCAAACCCATCCGAAAACGCTGCAACGTCCAAGAGTGCAGCCAGCCCTTGTAAGTGCCCACCTGCTATAGATGCTTATATATTTGAATAGCTGGTGCAGCAATAACGTGGTAATAGTAATGTTACACTGACAAATATAAATAGGGAGAACATGTAATTGCTTGGATGATTTTCAAAAGATCCTGCTGTGTTGACAGGTGGGTGGTGGAAGAGTGGAGTCCCTGCAGTAAGACCTGCGGGAAGCTGGGCTACCAGACCAGGGGGGTGCAGTGCATGCAGGAGCTCCACAACGGCACCAACAGAGCGGTCCACAGCAAACACTGCACCGAGGACCGGCCGGACACCAGGAAGACCTGCAACCACACCACCTGCCCCGCCCAGTGGAGGACAGGGGCCTGGTCTCAGGTGAGCAAGTTCAACCTTAGTCTAGTTGCAAGGAAAGTGTTGACAAAGTGACTTTAAGCATTACTAAATCAAAGCTCACAAACTAATAATTATTCAACTAAAGCTACGATTTGATTTCAAGCATGAAGGGCTGATTTTTGGGGGGAGATTTGATTTGTTGCAATAATTCCACTTTGTAATTCATTTGTTTAACTTACCTAGGGATACAGTTAGCTCGGTAGAATTTATATTACTCATTTTTTAAAAGCTTGCATCAGCATAGCAACTAAAAACAAAAGCAATCTAGAGTTTTTTGACCATGATCCTATGCCAAGTCTTAAAATATATATGGATAAACGAACTGGATACAGTTTCTGGCATAACATTAAAAAGTGCCAAAAATGACTGAGGAATGAATAAAGGAATATAACTGTTGTTTTAACGGCATCATTATCTCCGCTCACAAGGGTGTTGTCCTTGCTCACATCCTGTCGGAAAAATATCACGGCATTCTTAATTTAGTCAGCTATTTAAATCATGACACATGCATCATTTTCCCGCACTAAAGTCAAATGTAAATCAGTTTCCTATCTCTCCGTGTGTGTGTGTGTGTGTGTGTGTGTGTGTGTGTGTTTGGGTGTGACAGTGTTCAGTCACCTGTGGGGAAGGCATTCAGCAAAGGCAGGTCGTTTGCAAGGCCAGCGACAACACCATTGGAGAATGTGAGGGCGAGAAGCCGGAGACCGTCCTCATTTGCAAACTCAATTCATGTCCAGGTGAGACGCGCATAATGTTCTCCGGCAACAAGATTCACCAATTTAGCAGTTTCCTGTCTGTGATACATACACTGTTGGACAAACTGCCTGTGCATGTTATAGTAATCTCCTTTTCATCATTAATGCTAATGGACTCTTTCTGAATAACCGAAAAAACATATGATTCCGCGTCAGGCACATTTAGTCTTAATAACATTGTGACGCCAGCTATACAAATATTATGTGAGGGATTACATCTTTCTAGATGGAACTGTATGATAAATCAATAATGTTTCAAATATATTCTAACGACAAGTTGTTATACTAGAGTGAAGACACTGGTACAGGGTGTCCGCGGGGTCTTGAAAAGTATTAAAAGTTGATAAATCAGTTTAGCGAAAATTAAGGCTATTAAAAAGTATTAAAAAGTATTAAAAAGTATTAAAAAGTATTAAAGGGCATTTTCCAAGGTATTACATTTTGTAGCTTGTTTTCAATAAGTATATAAATTGTCCAAAGAGGTTGTATTCTACAGTGTGCCTGAATGTAATCATTGCGTAGGTGTGTAGTGTGATTCTGTGTAGTTTATTTATGGCATCCCGTTGGATTTGACGTCATCTGAACAGGACATCGTACGCTCACTGCTTGATAGCGCGAAGGTCCGTTTACGCCGGTTGTTAAACAACATCGTTATGGGGAAATGCAAGTTTGCGTCCAAATGGTTGGAAGATAAGGAGGAAGGACAATCAATACTGTATATAGTCAATGTGAGGTAAAGTGTGTCGCCAATGTAACCGGTTAAAACTCGAAGTGGCGATGAGGTCTTAAAATGTATGGAAAGGGTCTTAAAAAAGGTTTTAAAATGTATTATATTTGACTTCAGGATTCCTGCATATACCCTGTGGTATGAGATAAACTAAAAAACCTTAGGATCCATTGGTACCAGAAATGTTATGCTAGCTTGTAGAAAGGAAGGAGCCTAAATTATGCTTGTCACTACCCCGATCTGCCGCCCTGCCCTATCTGCAGTGTGCATGTGCGAGATGGTCCGCCATATTTGACAACTACATACAGCAACCCAAGTAGGACACTTGACACAGTGGCTTTTGGCAAAACACAAAAAGAAAACTCGAGAGAGATGAGTTATTGTTATTACAACCTGACTTCACTATTATTTAACAACTCTTTTTATTGGGTTCTTTTATTTGGGGTTAAGTACATTGTCAGAATAAGTCAGAAATTGATTTAACTTCTGTTAGACAGCTATATGCCATACATTTTTGCATACATTCACAGTAAATATGTATTCAGTATGATAGCTGTCTAACAGAAGTTAAATTCATTGGTACCTAAAGTGGTACAAAATTGTATAAAATTCAAGGAATTGCTTATGAACATCGTAGATAATAGGGGACAGATGATGGAAAACGTTTATTTTCGTCAAATACTCTTCACTTTTTATCACCCCCTGGATAACCCTTGTTCCCTGCCCCTTTAAAAATGAAGGGACAGAAAGCTAAGAGGTTACAGACAAAGAAGCTTTTAGATACTTAATGGGAACAGTCTATACTCAAAGAAATGTCAACTTATTTTTCAAATCATTTCTGCACTAATGCCCTCCGTCAGTTCTCTTCAATGTTCCTCTGTCACAAACAGAAAGAAGAAGTACAGGTCGTGCCCTGTGGAGTTGTAAATAGATCCAATATTTATTATACGTTTCTAAAAAGATGTCTCCATCTCCTTTCAGCAGCAAGAGGTTGTCAAGAGCTTCTCTTTGATTCCATGGTTGCTTTTTTGTTAAGAATATTTTTTCGCACACATTTGTTCCCCACTCCAGGTCAGCCAGTGTCTCCTCTCACAGTTGAAACGATGGAAAACTTCACAATAAAAGATGAAGCAGTACACCAAAGGGCTCCTGAGAACCCAGTCCACAAAATCTCTTCAAGTAAGTCAATATGTAATTTCTTTCAGAAATGGATAACTCCCTATTAGAGCTTTTTACTTAAGTGATCCTAAAGTAAGAAATCTACTGTGAAATCTTATTTTCTTTCATTCATATCAGTAATATCCTCTCCTCTCTAACCACTAGATGAGCCGTGTCTGGGGGACAAATCGATTTTCTGTCAAATGGAGGTTCTTGCTCGATATTGTTCCATCCCTGGATATAATAAGCTTTGCTGTGAGTCTTGCAACAAGAAAGAACACTTCGCCACACATTCTCCAGACCGCCAAAACAGCCCAGTGGCCTCGGCTGAACCTGAGACCTCCGCTCCTTTTCACCCTGCGTCCCCCAAGGCTCCGCAGCCCGCCACCACCCAGAGCCCGCCGCAAACCACTAAAGCTGTCGGCAGACGGCTTCGCTCGACCCCCCCCGGTGCCAACCACCGCTGCAGCTTCTGAAGCCCCCCCGCCCACAGGTGCCGCTCCGCCCCGGGGACCCTCCAGCGACTCAGACCCGGGGCCTCTTCTACCTCCAGGGCCCACACGGCCCACAGCAGACTCCAGTGGAGGTGCCGCTAAAGAGCACAGTCCAAACAGCACTTTAGGCCCAGTTGCTGCCAGGTCAAGAAGGGACGCTTTAGGATCCGAGAGGGACTCGAGTCACAGAACCCTGTCAGCTCAGAAATGAACAGTGAGTGATGTTGTGAACATGCTGCTCAGTGAGACGCTCTCATACATCAGCTCGCCCTTCTGCAGCATCTGATAGACTTGCAGTCTTGCTGCAGATATTTTCTTTCTTTTTTTTTTTACAAAGGTTTTTTTTCTCCTACGCCAGTGAACATAGACCAGACCAGCGATGGTTACCTCATCAACACGTTGGCGGGATCTGTGTGCAGCGCCACTCACCCTCTGTGCTTCAAATATGAATAAAGAAGGAAAAAAAAGTTGTCAGGTGCTGAACTAAAACGACTACAAGATGTGTTCAAAATGTGATGACTGCATTGCTACATTCATGTTTTTATCTGTGTACAGTTGTGTAATCCTGTTTTTTCAAGTGCATTAGAACTACTATTGAACTTGTATTGTGAACATGTGAGGAGAGGTCAGAGGCCATGGTTTTGAAGGTACACGTGTCAGCTGTGAAGAACAGAGTGTGCCACTGAAATGATAATAGACCATGCCAGTGTGAAATTATAATCAATTAATACATTGCTATGCGATTAAGTCATTAAATTAGCATTTGCATGACACTCAATCTAAAGTAATTTAACAGATGACAGGGGAAGAATTTAAATTGCAAATGTTCTGAACTTCCCTTCACTAATGTCTGCCACGAATCAATATTAACAGCAAAATGCAGGTGTATCTTATTCCATTCCGCTACATGAAAAACAAAACAGTAGTAGTAGTAGTGATTTTATGTAGTGCGTTTAAAAAGAATTGCTAAAGGATGAGATAATCAAACAAAACAACACTTATTTTTCTGGACGAATAATATGGCTGGCATCTTCCTTTTAATGACTCCTGAATTTAAAAACAGTTTTCCCAGTTTAGAACAACATGTGGCACCTAAAATTCCATCCAACACTGTAGAGCAGAAACATGTGTCACTGTCTTTAGCAGACACTCCGTGCTCCTGTCGCTGTAGCACATTTTAATATTGCATTTTTTTTTTAAAGAAAAATGCTCTTATGCAAATGAGTGGCAACTAACCCTTGGCAAACAGCTAGGACTTTCTGGAGTCTTGTCGTCGCCATGAGGTTGCTAACAAACCTAACTAACTCTTCATAGATGCCAGGCATTTTTTTAATAAATCATTCAGATGCAAATAAATTGATAATGGCTCAAATGTAACTGATTATAATAAGACACCTGTTACATCTATAATTATTCCTATGGCACACTCCAGACTCAATAACCATCTCTCCTGGCAGGGAGCCTCATGGCTTCCTGTCCCCGGTGCTCTTTTTTTTCATGGTTTTGTTCCCAAATCCAACGTACTGGTGATTATCTTCACTGGTAAAAAATAAATCATGACTGTCTGCAAGCCAACCCCACTGTAGCATGCCCAGGTCTGCCTTTGGGAGTCAGTCACTTAACGCTTTAAAAAACTCATTGTTATCTTTTTGTAACTGATATATTTTTCAGATAATAATGTATATAGTGTAAATTTCAAGTTATGAAAAGAAATAAGCAACCAGGAATCGACCATAAAGTATGTTGAAAGCATATGTAAAAATAAGTCTACAGACTGGTTGGTCATACTGCTACACCATTCCTGCATTGCAGTTCATAACTTCATTATGTGTATTGTATAGTTATTGTATATACGTACGTGAATGAAAGCTTTAAATGTTAATATTTATTGAATTTTTAAGTGGTATGGAGAACAAAGTAAAACCTGTTTGAAAGAACTCAGATTCCTGTAATTTCCTTTTTCTTCTACATACTTTTTGTAGCTGTTCCTTGCTTTACTTTAGAGTTTGAACTACTGCACTATCTTAAGAAAGGTTTGTAAAAGCTACGGAACACAGGTCTCCTTGGTCTGAAAGGAGGCATCTGCCGTTCAGCGTTGCTATTAATGTTGTATTCCAAATATGTGTACAAGGTGGCGGATGAAAATGAATCAGGCAAAAAACACTTTATTAATGTTGTCCATTCAAGTGCAGGCACTCATTCAGTTAGTCGGTGTCAACAGACAATGGATGAATCCTAAGCAGGAAATGTTGAGGTTTGAGTGGCACACGCTGACATTATTTCCTATTATAAGCCAGCGGCACCAGTTACTTTCTGTCATGCTCTGGAGGCTGTCACTGTGCCTCCATCTCCCAACCGTCCCCAGAGAGTGATAGGAGTGCTCCTGCGGTGCGGTGTCACACAAGCTCAGCTAGCCCAGGGTGGCCCTCGCTGTGAGACGTCTGCGAAGGTGTCTGGTGAAATCCAGCTGTGCCCGGGGCAAAGCCTGATTGACAATGGACTTTGGCAGCCAGCCCTGAGAACAAAATAAACCATTGTGAGACCATTGAATTGTACTTTTTGACTGTCAGAGAATAATTGACAGCTACAAATATTAATCAATTACACATTTTGTTGTTGTCAGCACACACTGAAGAAAAGCAAAGCAGTAGGCTACCACAAACAAAACAGTAACGTCAAAAAGTATAATTAAAAAGAAGTAATACATAAAAATGAAAGAGGTAAAATATTGTTTCTAACATTTCCCCAAGCTTTCAACCACAGGGAAGGATCTGTATGTGAATGGAGTTAGCTTAGTTGTCACTCGTAAGACAGCAAGAGCTAACTGCTAAGACTGAGTGGCACCTCAAAAAAGCTACTGGACTTTGGGTTTCAATCGATGACATGTTTTACTTTTATAAAGTCAGAGGACACAAAACAGACAGATAAAAGAAAACCATTGTCAAAATTGAATCGGCAGATGGAGAGATGTTACTTTAAAATGTTGTATAAGGTATAGGATGATGACATCATTAGGGTTATTTTGTCAATTCACTGTTTTAAGGATAACAAATCTACTTTACCAATACATATTTACAGACCTAATGTAGGCTATAACATCTGGAATGTTACAATTGTCGAATTAAACGTTAAAGGTCCGATGTCATGCTTTTCCGGTTATTACCCGTCCCCTTGTGTGTTATCAAGGTTTTTATGCATAGTCACAAACCCTCAAAGTAAACCCTGTAGCGAGTAAAAATCGAACACAGAAAAGACCTGTCTATGCTGCCCCAGAACGCCTCGTTGGAGATTTCTCTTTTTCCATTGTTTTCTTCCTGGGTACAGTGACATGCCCATACCCAAATGGACTGAAATGGACCCATTGGACCAATCCGTGGAGCTCCTCACACACACACACACACACACACACACACACACACACACACACACACACACACACACACACACACACACACACACACACACACACACACACACACACACACACACACACCACACACACACGCGCGCGCACACACACGCGCACACACACACACACACACACACACACACACACACACACACACACTCTCAGCGGTGAAACTGTGACGCGCTGGGGGGATGCTAGTGGAATGGAATTATGATCAGTAGAAATGGCCATGACATGGGACCTTTAAATTAGGCATCTTCTCTAATCCACCAGTAATGGAAAGTAACTAAGTAGTCTACCATGGCTGAAGGTAACAAATTACATTAAGGGCATTACAGTCTAACCATCAAAAAGTTCTGATACTGTACACTGTGAGAATGCACAAAAGAAAGATGATCATTAGCTCTGCAGCATGAAATAACGCTGCTGGTGTGTTTACGGTCGCAGGAGGGCAGAGCAGAGCACCCAAGACGAGACACTCTGCACGCTGAGAGCACTCGAATTTTTTTTTTAAGTTTACGACTGTCGGTTGGGTGCAGTTGCCATTGGGGATGGCAGCTTTTTAATAGTATCCTTAAAACAATGCAAAAAGTATTATAATGCACGCGATAGTTGGTTAAGGTTACCATTAATGTACTGTATGCAGAGTTGAAAAGAGTTCCATCTATCTTATTTGAGCAGTGATTGAATGCACCACAAACCACCGAGCACTTTAAATGACACACCCACCCATGCTGTCTCTAGGCTAGCTAACATGCTAACCTGCTGAGCAAATTATACATGTAGTTCTGTAAAGACTTACTGCTGCTTTGATATTTATTCGATTTCAAGTAATCTTTCAGCTCAACATTGGTAGAAAATGTACCTGAAAAAGATTAAGGAGGATTTGCAGTTCTCAAGACTAGCACGCTCTTTACACAGGTGAGTACAACAACACACCTGTCCTGACGTAGGCTCACTGTGTAGGCTACAAAGCATGTTTTGCTAATCAAAGATATAAAAACAGAACTAATACTGTGCATCTTAATTTCTGTGTAATATATCTGTTTAAACCAAGCAGCTGTGGTGTTTATATTGTGTTGTCTGTATGATTTGGTGACTTTTTCTTCTGCTTTTATTCTGTAAGTAATGTTAGTTTATTTATTTCTGTGGCTTTATAATGGTTCTTACATCCGCCGCTGCTCATACATCTTTAATATTGAAATTGTTATTCATTTTTGTACAATTGTCTGAGTTCTGTCTATTTTTAATCCTACAGTGATGGGCAATTGTACATTTTTGATGTAAAACCGTGAAATCTAACAGAATTTTGTATATTGTGATAATAATAATTAGTTTTCTATTATTATTAGATTCTCTATAGGAGTCTATGAGCGGATTTTTTATAAATGTGACACAATGTTATACATTTCATTGGTGTCTGGCCATTTTGATTTAAGACCCTATATAAAAAGCGTTGTGTAGTTGGGACTCTGCCAACTTTCCCCTCTTAACTTTTAAGATGATGTAATAACAATCTATATTTGAGGTCAAAATACCTCTTGATCCTTAAAATACCAGTATTTTTCCACTGGAATTTTCACCTAAGTTAACAATATGAGAACTCTTTCCAACTCTTGAATCCACTAAGCACCAGCTCTATCTAATTCCACGAACTGGGCAGTTTATCTTCGTTATAAAATTAGCTCTTCAGTTCTCACTTGACCTGCTATTGTTGATTTAGTTTTCTGTCCATCGCCCTCCGCTTCTCTGATCTGGTTCCTCATCTCAGTTGCCAACAAACGTTGTTGTTATAATTTCCGCCAAGAGATTTTGCATGCAGTCGACTGTGAGTGTTTTTTGTGATAGTATTTGTGTGCGGCATAGTGTGACATCTGTCTGTTTGTCCTGGTCCGTTTTTGTTTGCCTGTCTATTCGTTCATTTAATGAACAGAATATGCATTGATGCATTAGGGCTTTACCAACATTGGTAATAGTTGGAACAGTGTGTGTAAATGGGTTTGTATTTGTCTGTGTAATATGGAAGATTTAGTGTTTAGCCAGCTGGAGCTTCGCAACCAGGGGCGGTTCTAGGGGGGGACAACAGGGGCCGGTGCCCCGTAAAAACTGACCTGTGGCCCCCCTGTGGCCCCCCTCCATAAAAAAGGTTACAATATTACGATTTATTGGAACTAAATTAAATCAGAGACCTGGATGTACAGTGGAGATTAAACTGTGCATTACCTTATATGCAAGCAAATACTGTTTATGTTTTTAATTCAATTGTCACTTAAAGTAAACAAATACTCTAAATTTTAAAAAAACTGAAACACAGGACTGTAACTTAAATTGACTAAAACAAATACCTTTACAAAAACAAATACCAATTACTGTATTTTATGTTTATGTAACCGTGGCCGTGCACACAACAGCTAAACTTTACTTTACTTTACACTGTCTTTGTCTTTGTAACCCGGTTTTATTGTGCCCCTCTCATGAAATAACCGGCCCCAGCCTGGCCCCCCCCAGTAAAATTGGTCTAGAACCAGCACTGTTTGCAACAATGTGAAGAAATGGAAAAAGCATCTTCAAGTTAATATACACAGTTGCACTCCCATCTGTGCAATATGTATTAACACTCTTATTGCAGTCAATGGATATTGTAAGTACTTGAGTCTGTATATAGTTTCTAATTATCTCTTACAATGGAACAGGCAGTACATATGAATTTACCTTGACGTCCATATTAAGAAGCCATGTGAAGCGGCTTTTTCCTGTTTCATCGCCCAAAGCCTGAATGATTATGCAGGTTGGTCCATCCTCAGCTCTGTAAGCATGCAAACAAAGTCAATAACTCTTTGTTTTCAATTAGGAGCGCCTCCTCGACTCAAAATGCGTTTTTTTGGCCTTGGTGTTTCTAGTGATGTTAAAGTCACTAATCATTAGTATTCAAACATGGTTTATTATAGATAATGGGATTACAGAAATTAATTAAATCGGTTGTGCTCATTACAGTTAAATGCTAATGCTTATGCTTGTTCTACTCGCTAATCATTACCATGGTGGTATTGTGTTTGTGAGCTATAAGGCATTTATCTCAAAGCTACATGTTGCCATCTGTACGAGCCTCAAAGAACTGCCTGCATTAAACTTGTTTATAGTGAAAACTGCAACATTTACTCAGCTGAGTACTTTACATATAATGGATATACAGATTTGCTTTTTTCCACCTTTTGTTCTATTCCTCTACCCTCACATTCATCAAAATCCTCTGACCCCCATCTGAATATTTGCCTTTTGCGGTGCTGAGCATTCCAGCTCAAATGTAAATGTTAGAACAAATAAAACTCTACGCTAGTTTATTACTGTAGAGTTGAAGACATTTTTATGCTTTCTACTGACATCTGGAAGACCGAGATTACTCTACTCCTATGCTGTATATTATGGGAGAAAGTTAAATCACATTCAAGTGAATTCCAACATGTAATGATTGATGCCAACTGAAATGGAGTCTGCGTATGATCCTACCTCACAAAGCCTGCCTGAGGTGGGAAGGACGCCAGCTGAATCGCTGCTCCTCCAAGATAAACGCTGGACTTCTGTTTGCGACTGTGTCTGACACTCAGGAAATCCCTTTGGCCAATACGATTTCCCGCTGTCTCGGCTGAAACCTCGTGAGTGATTATTGTTTCAGGCCCAACATGCTTCAGAACCTACAAGAGACACAAATATCACATTTAGTTTGCAAAACACTATGTGGACAGCAACAATTACAATGGGATGTGTGCATTGTTAGAATACTTTTATTTTTTCAAAGATATAGCATAAAGCCAAAGAATTATGGCTTAGAAAATAGAAATGTAGTCTATAAATAAAGCCCTTCAGATAACGTTTTAAATTAGGTACAGATCTTCAAACCTGTGATGCTTAAAGGTACCCTATTATACTGTTTTACATCAATATATTCTAGGTCTCAGATACAGTATATACAAAACATGTCTCTGAAGTGTTTGGCTCGAAATACCAAACAGATCATGCATTGTAGCATCCCATAACCCCCTCTGTTTCAGCCCAGTTTCAAAAGTACTGATTCTGTGTCTTTTACTTTAGATGAAAATAAGGAGCTACTCCACTCCCTCTGTGAGATATTTGGTTAAAAAGAACACAATGGTGCTCTAGGAGGAGATCCAGGCGATAAGGTGGGGGGGGGGGGGTTACCTTTGGTGGTTATTGGCTAATGTTTACACACGCCAAAAAATCGTTATGACATAAAGTGGCTAAAATCTGATCAGCTCATTTTCAGACCGGTTTTGATATAAATGGAGAATCCTTTTACACAGAGGGGACACATGTTTATGTATAGAATTCATGAAAAAGTGGATTTTGCTTAATAGGTGACCTTTAAATGGTACTGTTATGGTATTTTAGGTCATAGTTTCACAGTAGGGCAGGCAATATGGAGACAATACAATATCACACTATTTCTGATCAAATGCCTCTTGGATATTGCGACAATATTCCATGGTTTAGCATTGGTGCTTTACAAAATATTCACACTATGCATTTTTAGATGAATAACCAACAGTTATTATAGAAAGACGATATCTAGTCTCATATCACAAAATGTATATACTATTGACTATCACAGTTGATCAAATATTTAATGTCAGCGACTCACTTTGATCTGCTGTATGCTCGGGTTCCACTGGTGCATCTCCTCCACTCTGACAAACAGGAGGTCGTAGAGCTCCTCCACGCTGGCTTCCAGCACCGCCTCCAGCCTGAAGACCTTCCCGGCCCCCGCCACTACTTTGCTGCAAATAACTTCTCCTTCGCTCTACAAAGGAGCAACAAAACAAGCAGACATATTCAATCGTTACATGATGCACATGTATTAGATGTGGAGAAGAAACACAAAACTTGAATCCGATGGATGTTACCTCTGTGAACTCGACCTTCCATCCTTTTGTGTCTTCCAGCATGCAGAGAGCTTTCCTCATTGCTTCTTGGCCTTGTTTTACACAAAAGTCTTGATCTTCTTTCAAAGGCTTTACATCTTCGGGTCCAGGCGCTGTAAAATATTCTTCTTAGCAATCTCAAGAGAACACTGATAACAGAACTGACTTTTTTTGTTTGTATTTTTCTTACCATTATACTTGATTCCACCATGTGTGCTCATGTGAGGTTGGACCCGTCCCCATCTCTGCAGGTGTGTGAGCTCCTTGCCTATCACTGCCACAGCTGTGCGTTGAAGTCCTGCAGGATTGAACAGTTAAGAGAAACAAAAGCTCAGTTGTCCTTCCCAGAATGCAGTATTTGCGTGAAATGATATAAAGATAAACATCTTTTATCAGATTACTGTGAGTGACAACCTGCCAGACTCCTCAGATGGGGGTAGGAGATTCCACAGCAGAGCTTTACAACAGCAGGCAGCATGGTGTCAGTCTGTGGCAGTGACAGCAAAGCAGCTGTGTGTGTGTCTGCTCTTTATATGGCCCGTGAAGGTCTCCCCACAGAGATAAGGGCCAGAGAAGAAGATAAGACCTGGTCTGAAATCTGTTTGAAGGCCACACTTGACAGGAGTTTTATTTACTAAAACTCAGTATTAAAGGAAAGGGAGGAAGACCTATCAGTAACAGTTTTGGGAATTTTGAATCACCGTTATAAAACCTAAACCATGTGGGAGAAAAATACCTTCTTGGCATCTTACTTTTAAATGTGCATAATAAAGATTTTTCCATGTTACTTAACCATTTTTTCCTATATCTGGGAAATCCTGTTAAATGTTTTACCTTTTTGAAAAATAAAGTTATGGACATGTCATTGGAATAAAATATAATGCCTAAAACAATTAGTTTTCTACAGAGCCCTGGAGGGTTCATAGAGAGAAAAATAAATAAAACGTGGCCACGTTTTACTTTCTCGTGCGCACGCTTTAGTAACTAGTGCGCACGAGTTGCTAAAGCGTGCGCACGAGTTACTAAAGCGTGCGCACGAGTTACTAAAGCATGCGCACGAGTTACTAAAGCGTGCGCACGAGTTACTAAAGCGTGCGCACGAGTTAATAAAGCGTGCGCACGAGTTACTAAAGCGTGCGCACGAGTTACTAAAGCGTGCGCACGAGTTACTAAAGCGTGCGCACGAGTTACTAAAGCGTGCGCACGAGTTAATAAAGCATGGCCTCGTTTTGTGTGTGTGGGGGGGGGGGGCATTTGTTTATGATAGTATAGTTTGTTCCGGTGCACTCCGGCAGGACTATAGCACATCGAGATTAAGATTAAACACATTTCTTTCACTTGGGAATACACTTAACTATGGGGAACCAGATTTGTTTAAAGTACTGTTCGTGGTAATTTGAAAACAAATGCCGGTGGTGTCGGATACACACGAACACGCACACAGAGCGGAGCTGAGCACACACACACACATCATGCGCCCCGGTGACAGGACATCTCCTTCATAAAACGAGGGAGAATACTCTGGTAGTTCGATGTGTGTATAGGTGTGTGTGGTTAAACGTAGCAGCCTCGATCTCTATTCAGCGGTTCTAATGAAGGGAAACGCAGTGAAGTAAACAGTAAAAGGCACAGCTCTTTGCAGCTGGTGCTGCTCTTCTCAGATTCTGCTGAGTTTCATGTTACTGCCTCCAGTGCCCTGTACGACGAAGCCAGTTCAACAGACCCTGGACCTGGACATGTTCGATTTACCCGGCTTAACTAACCCTAACAAACGCGATGTCGATAAGTGGTCCTATGAAGCTGGTTATCAACTCAGTAAATCAACCAGGGTTTCTCTGTCCGGCTGAGAGCGCGTTCACGTGAAAGGGACGGGGTTAGCAACATTTGACCAATCACAAACATGGAGACGCGTGCTGACAGCGCAGCGTCATACTTCATGAATGAATAGTGTAAATAGCAAATCCTGCTTCGTAGTACAGGCCACTGGTGCCGCAGAGATTTCATAAAGTGAAGGAGGTTTTCCTTCTATAAAACAGCTGTGGGCAGCAGATACTGTGAGTCACGGACAGGAATCCCTCAATTTTAATAAAACGAGGCCACGCTTTATTAACTCGTGCGCACGCTTTAGTAACTCGTGCGCACGAGTTACTAAAGCGTGCGCACGAGAAAGTAAAACGTGGCCACGTTTTATTTATTTTTCTCTCTATGAACCCTCCAGGGCTCCGTAGTTTTCCCCCAAAAAACATTATAAACATCTTTTCACCTGTTTATGAACAAAACCACTTTTACTGGGTTTTTATTCATTTTCTTTTGAATCTGTAATCTCTGCAGAAAGCCTATAACCAAGGGACATAAACAAATATTTTTCATACAAAGTTGTCATTACTTCTAAGTAGTTGTGTGACACCGACTAATGTTATGTGTTTTCCGCCTGCTTGAGAGCACAATTAAGTGTTTTAGTGCTAAAATCTGGAGTCTATTAACATATCTCTATAGAAAGATGAAAATAGAATCCTGTCACCTCCCAGCGTTGTGTAGGATAAACACAATACACTAATGGCATGAAGGTGACAAGCCATGCAAGTGAGAGTAAATAGGAAAACCTTGGCAGCATGATTATTTCTCAACGGATGAGTCATCTTTAATCAATCATCCTCTGAATCCCCAAATTATTTTGAATGAGGTTTATATGAAAGAGACAACAAGCTGTAGCTCATTAGCAAAGGAAGTCCTTGCCCACCAATCAGGCAAAATGGTAATAAATGGATGTCAAAGATTGTATAATGAAACTAGAAACAGCATTGAGGCTCCACCACTCAGACATTTGTGCTATATGTGACGCATACATACGTGGGTGATCGAGGGAGAGGGGGAGGTTAATCCTCCAGCGTGACTTATTCTAATGACTTTTATTTTGTGGAGTGAAAAGCCAGGATTCAATATTCTCATGCAGGAATGTAAGGCCAGCGTGATTTGCATAAGTGGCTCATAGAGTTCGGAGACAATTATTTTTGCGTGAATAATAATGACTGGACCCAGCTTTATAGTTCAATTTTATTATAATGATATATGTTTCAATGTATCCGTCCATTCATTCCTGACTCTTTTTTTTTTTCAAAGTAAAGGCTGGTTACAATGTAATTTAATTGAATGTATTCAATAATTAATTAATTAATCTGTACTGTCTCTAGTACATGGTAGGGGCTCATCACTGCACCTGTGTGAATTATGACCCCAGACAGTATAGTTTTTCATAAATTCATTGATTCATTATTAACTCATTCATCTCATAGCATATCATTTTTTTAATGCCAGTAACAATTTCTGTGTAAAGAATCTTATGATTTCTAGGTACAATAAGGCTTTATGATTTCATTATTCCTATTTCCATTTTTCCATTCAACCATCCAACAGTCGTTGCTAGTTACCATGTCTTTGTGGATTACAATTACTGATACTATGGTTTATGTTTTTATTTAATTTCAATAATTCCCCATCTCTGAACTGATTCCTTTTCTTGGTAAACTGAGAATCTTCCATATGCCCGACTTCAGACAACTATATACTTTCAACTCCACCCGCTCACTTTAGAGGGGCTCCACCTCTCTCTCATCATATGATATGAGTGTGGTCTGTGTGTGTGACGAGTTGTTGGATCTGGAAAATATTTGGGAAAGAGCCCGGTGCCGCCCTCTCTTCCCAATGCTGCCTTGCAGCTGTCTCTTATCGCCCCGAGCCAACAGGTGTCCTTGTGAGAAGGATTTGTGACGTCAATGCTGACCAGGCCTCAAACTGAAGTCACCAGGGAAGAGCCATGGCAAGGACTTGTTTCATTGCCAAAATAGGCCTTCATTATGATTTGTGTGATAATTTGCAGTTTGAGCACAACATCTGAGCTATGTGTCAGAACACTAGGCGGCACAATCCTGGATATGCATCCATTGGATAACACCAAATGCTTCTGTGGCATTAAAGGCAACACTTAAAGGCCACTCTGAAACGTGCAGTTTTGCTTTATTGGGGGGGTCTGGGGGGGTCCGAAAACCAGTCAGTATCTGGTGTGACCACCATTTGCCTCACGCAGTGCAACACATCTCCTTCGCATAGAGTTGATCAGGTTGTTGTTTGTGGCCTGTGGAATGTTGGTCCACTCCTCTTCAATGGCTGTGCGAAGTTGCTGGATATTGGCAGGAACTGGAACACGCTGTCGTATACGCCGATCCAGAGCATCCCAAACATGCTCAATGGGTGACATGTCCGGTGAGTATGCTGGCCATGCAAGAACTGGGATGTTTTCAGCCTCCAGGAATTGTGTACAGATCCTTGCAACATGGGGCCGTGCATTATCATGCTGCAACACGAGGTGATGGTTGTGGATGAATGGCACAACAATGGGCCTCAGGATCTCGTCACGGTATCTCTGTGCATTCACAATGCCATCAATAAAATGCACCTGTGTTCGTCGTCCATAACATACGCCTGCCCATACCATAACCCCACCACCACCATGGGCCACTCGATTCACAACATTGACATCAGAAAACCACTCACCCACACGACGCCACACACGCTGTCTGCCATCTGCCCTGAACAGTGAAAACCGGGATTCATCCGTGAAGAGAACACCTCTCCAACGTGCCAGACGCCATCGAATGTGAGCATATGCCCACTCAAGTCGGTTACGACGACGAACCGGAGTCAGGTCGAGACCCCGATGAGGACGACGAGCATGCAGATGAGCTTCCCTGAGACGGTTTCTGACAGTTTGTGCAGAAATTCTTTGGTTATGCAAACCGATTGTTGCAGCAGCTGTCCGAGTGGCTGGTCTCAGACGATCTTGGAGGTGAACATGCTGGATGTGGAGGTCCTGGGCTGGTGTGGTTACACGTGGTCTGCGGTTGTGAGGCCAGTTGGATGTACTGCCAAATTCTCTGAAGCGCCTTTGGAGACGGCTTATGGTAGAGAAATGAACATTCAATTCACGGGCAACAGCTCTGGTGGACATTCCTGCTGTCAGCATGCCAATTGCACGCTCCCTCAAAACTTGCGACATCTGTGGCATTGTGCTGTGTGATAAAACTGAACATTTTAGAGTGGCCTTTTATTGTGGCCAGCCTAAGGCACACCTGTGCAATAATCATGCTGTCTAATCAGCATCTTGATATGCCACACCTGTGAGGTGGGATGGATTATCTCAGCAAAGGAGAAGTGCTCACTATCACAGATTTTTTTTCAGATTTGTGAACAATATTTGAGAGAAATGGTTATCTTGTGTATATAGAAAATGTTTTAGATCTTTGAGTTCATCTCATGAAAAATGGGAGCAAAAACAAAAGTGTTGCATTTATATTTTTGTTCAGTGTATAATGTGCCCACGGCACACACAAGCAAGCCACATAATCCACAAAAAAACATAACCATGACAAAGAAAGGACATATAAATGGTAGAAAGGTTTGTTGGTGCTACAGTAATTTTGGAAAGCAAAACAA